AGATTTTGGGCCGAGATCTTGAGCCGTAGCCATTACACCCCAAACCCCTAAACCCTAAACCCTTTGCCTGAATCCCGCGCAGACTGCTTGAAAAGCTTATTGTATCAGCCGCCTGCGCTTGGCTTTGCCTCTCCCATGTCAGTCTACCTATCGCAAAATGAAAAGGCTTTTAAAACGTATGCCTGCGCCTGTCCCTTAGTCACTCCATTTCACCTTTTGCAGTGTGAAAAGGGAGCGGCATATGTCTGTATCTGGCGTCGTGTCTGCCAATTCTTCTGTACTTCGCGCAAGGTGAAAAGTTGTGGTGTTTCACACAAGTTTGTACCAGGCCTTCTCGTAGTCACTTTTCAAAACAATTTATCACAACGTGAAATGGGGGAGGTGGTAACATGTCTCTACCCGGCTTCTTGTCTGTCATTTCTTCGTACTTCTCGCAGAGTGAAAGACGGGGGTTGGAGCATAGGCTTGTACCCGCCACGTCCAAGGGGTGGTTTTACCATGTTGCTGTACCCTCACTTCACTTTCTCTATGTGACTTGACGCTTCTTCTTGCAGGATGAGAATGAAGTTCGGTTTAACCTATGGTTGCACCCACTTTTCCCCATGTCACTTCATTCCGCTTACCGCAATATGAAAAGAAAGGGCTTTTAACATATGGGGATATGTCCCTACCTAGTGTTCCCTCTGTCCTTTCTGTCCACTTACCGCAAGGTGCAAAAGGGTGGGTTTTCGCATGTGTTTGTACCAGGGTTTCCTGTAAACTCTTCATTCCTCTCATGGCAAGGTGAAATGGATGGCTATGACTTTTGTCTGTACCTGACTGCTTTCCCTCTGTCATTTCACCTCCTGGGACTTCGCTCGCGTCTGCACGTTGCTGTCAACATCTGCTTTCCCTTGGTCACTTCATTCCTGCTTACCACACAGTGAGAAGGGGGTGGTTTTGAACGGGTCGTTTCTGGCTTTCCCTGTCACTGCACCTTTGCTCGGTCACTTCATTCCTGTTCTTGCGAGGTGAAAAAAGGGTGCCCAAAAGAAGACTGGTTTCAACCTATGTCTGCACCTGGCTGTGCCTTTGTTATTGCAGTCCTCTTATTGCACTTGAAAAGGGGTGTATTTTAAACACATGTCTGCGCCTAGCTTTCCCTGGCATCCCTGGCGTTCTTTTCTGACTCGCAATACTTGTCCTGACTCACGGTCTCTCTCCTCACTTCCAGTCTTTTTCCTGACTCGTGCCTCTTGCCTGACTCATGCCTTTGTGTTTTCCGGACTCGTGCTTTTGCTTTTTGCTGACTCGTGCCGCGTCTGTCTCTTGAATTGTGCCTCTTCTTTTTCTTCACTCATCTTCTCGCCTTGCTGACTCGGACCTCTTTTTTCTGACTCGTGCTTCGTTCCGTGTTGGGACCTGTCCTCCAGCATCGTATATATTTCATCAGCAACGCTGGGCAGGCTTTGCCTCCCCAAAGGGAATGCCTACTCGCAACATCCCGCGACCCAAAAAGCTCATCACAGTTAAAACTGCACTAAAATTGTTAAAACTCCGACATGACGTTCGTAATGGTTAGGGCAATGCGCGCCAGACATCAAATTGTTCAATCTTCTTTCCACGTACGTAATGCGCGAAATCTGCTGACATGCCTTTTGCTCGGTCCTCTGGCACTCTCAAAACGAGCAGCTCTGAAATCCAGAAGCTGCGGACAAGCGTGCACGAGAGGCACGTGTGTATGTGTGTACTGTAGCGCATGAGCAGCCAGCTGCCCCAACGATGTGTGCAGGGTCACAAAACAAGGCCGCCCCGTTTTGCCGCAAGTGGTAACTGCAGGCAACCCCCCCGATTATGTCTCTTCCGATTCAGGCCCAAAGCCGGTTCCACCATGTTCCACCTCTTCAGGCCGCACTATGTCACGCGTGAAAACTCGAACGTCACCATACTTTGTGCGAAATCTTGCATCTGTCTCCTGTGCTCAAAAGCTCAAGGCCACTTGCCTTGGCCCTTCACATGTCCACCTAAAAACTCTTTGAATAAAACCTCTACGCTCGAGTCTTAGTAGCCGAAAATCCAAATAATCCAAATATCTAAAATCCTCCAAGGTTCAGATTCGGGCGTGGGCTTGGGCAGCTCCGGCCCCTCTCCAGTGAGTAGATTCACCAGCTCATCTTCCTAAAGCTTCAAAGGCACATGAAAATCAGATCACATGCTGCGATGCCGGCCGGAGAACAGGATGGTTGCGGACTGGAAGTGTTGTGGGTCAACCTAGAACAGCAAGAAAGAACGGTGGCTGATTCGAAAGATCTCGAAAACTTGCTGCTCCTGTTGGGATGGGAACCAACGGATTCCTGGCGTCGCTACTCTCTACTGTTGCTACAGGTGCAGCTAGCCCTGCGCCATGTCAAGAATTGCCGAGGGGCTCTCTTCTTCTTCTCTAGCCACTCCTTGATTCTTTCAACCTCAGAGAGCGGCTTTGATGACTGTCATGCTCTCTTCACTCTCTGTGCACATGCCACTGCATGATTGCCAGTCTGCTCCTGCTGTCATCTGTAGATTGGGATTTCAGCCAAGCTGCAGCTTTCACATGTCGAACTCTTCGCCCGTTAAGGTCGCGCATGGCATCAAAGTTTGTCGTCTTCTTGCCTCGGATCAGCTTGGCACTTGGCAGAGGAGCTGGAAACGTGACATGTCATGGCATCACACGTAGCCGCGAAGCTGCCCCATATGAGGCATGCCAGTTCCTGCCCCCCGCATGCTGGATAAGGCAATCTCCTCTAATCTTCTACGCGAAAACAATAGGACTCCCAACAAGGCTCACGTCCCTGCTGCCACGGCACCTCCCTTCTGCGAGCGGAGCAATGATCCGAAACCTCCCTTACCTGACAGAGACCACGATGCTCGCTTATGGCTGGGCGCTTGGAGCTGCACGGGAAGTATCTAGTCATCGGGGCTCTCATATACGAGTACCATGGCATCAAACACAGGGGGCCTGCTTTTGAATTTTCACGCTGTGTTCAACATGCACTGCTTGTGGTGAGAGCTGTTGTGAAAAGCGAGACTGCATACTGCATGACGAAAGAATACGGAAGGGTCAAAACAGCGTTCGAAAATAGCCAGCGCAGCCGTTGCAGGCGAACAACTAAGGGTGCCCAAAGATGGCAGCAAAAGATTTGTTGCGGGAATGCAAGGTGCCGCGGGTATTCTTTGGAAACACAGACTGAAGCCGTGCGGATCTGTAGATCAGGCCAAGCAGCCACCCAGAAGACGAAATGTAATTCGAACGAAACAAGGTCGTCCTTCTTCCTCACACATCACACGCTGAAAAAGAAAGGGCCGAGAGGTTTTGCCGCAAGCCCAAGCTCCAGGCTGAACCAAAATTGCTGCTTGGTGCAGCCGAGAATCAAGTGTCTCCAGGAAGCGTGCCGCGGTTTTCCTGGAGTTCTCAGTTGTTGCACGACTTGCACCACGTGTCTGAAAGATCACTTACATTCTCTTCTCATGCATGCAAGCCACGAGCGTCACGGATTAACTTTTGGGTGCTGCGGAAACTACACCATGATCCTGAGGCATCACGACCTTCAAGCCTGGCTGTTCAAGACCATGTCTTGCAAAGAGTATCAGACGCTCCCCATGATGCAGCGGGGCTGCCAACACCGCACTAAGACTTAGTCCAGCGGGCCGTCTTGTTGAGAAAAGCTCAAAGCAATGGAATTCTTCAATGTGACTCGGGCAAATCGCCCATCGCTGAAGCCTTGGACAATGAGTGTTGGCCAAATGGCTCACATTCGAGGTCACGCCCCTGAAAAAGCACTCGGTACCCGTCTTCGTCGTCGGACTGCGGATGGTCCTCTGTCAGTAGCTAGGAACTAGATGCCACACGACATCTCCAGCATCACCATACATCAACTAAATGGCCATCAGCAGGCAGATTTCTAGAGTGCTGTTGTTCAGGCTGAACTGGTGGACAGGATGCACAGGCAGTTCACAAGGGCCATGTGAGGATGTGCAGATACATTGGAGAGGGTGAAACCCAGCAGCTATACACGTCTCCTCTAGGTCAAGGCAGTCGAAAGCTGACAGCAGCTCATCCTCGTCCTCAGATGTAAACTGCAGCATCGATTTAAGGGCAAGGGTCCATCACATCAGGCTGGCGCGGCCTCAGCATATCCGCACAGATTGCCATGATCCGGAATGCATGTCAGGCGCTTTCACCAGAAGAACACAGAAGTAAACACACTGCCAATTTCAGCCAGGTGCGTGGTCGCTTGAGGTGGAAGCATGCCTAACTTGCTGGCTTTTATGTGGAGATGCCGCAGGTTGTTGCAGGTTGGTTCACTTGCGCTTTGCGGGGTAACCTTCTTGCGTCCACAACTGCTAGTTCCCACTGAAAAGGCCAGAATGGCTAAGAGTCATACTTTAACATCTGCGCAGGGCCTCCTCGCAAAAAGCTCCGCGTCGAGGAAGTGCCGCAGAAGCTCAGCAGTTTCAGAGGGGCCCCCAAGAAGCCTGTCGCGCAGTGCGCTGGAAGAGCTTGGCATGTCATCCCAAGCCTCCATTATGATCGTCTTTACATATATGTAGGTATATGCAGGTTATAACCTATCTGAAACAAACTATAACTTAACAGTCCAGCAATTTGATCCTAGATCAAAATTTTGCATGGCATTGAGATGACTCAAACGACCCTGTCGACCGTCAATGCGCACAACGGATTAAGACCAAAGGGCGATGGTTGCAAGGGGACGAAATGTGAGGCACCACCCGGCAGCTGGGCGATAACGCCCGCCGCCATGTCTGGGAAGAGGCCTGCACACAGATGAAATCTTAGAGGAGTGCAGAATGTTTGACTGATTGACATGAGGTCCTGTCGTATCTGTTTGGCCAACTGCGAATCTGGAGGGATGTCAGTTCTGTGCCAATAGCTGTGCTTCGGGGGATGCGGGTTCCAGAACGCGCGGTGCCTCCAACTAAGGCAGGGTTACGCGAAGGCTCTCCTCTGTACCTTGAGCCCTGATGCAGACGAAGTACAGGCATGTAAAATCATCACTGCCTGCGCAGATCTCACCTTTACCCTCAACAAGAAACATTGTCTTGGCAGAGGTCCGACTCCCAAATGCATGTCTCGGCCCTGGTCTTTCAACCCAAGTCTGCGAGTCCCTCCAACCTGCAGGACACTGACATAAGCCTGCCCGGCCACCTCGCGTGCAGGTGCCCACGTGTCCTTCCGCAAATCTGAGGCCGGTTTGTGGAAGCTTCGGAACTTGGATTTATTCCAGTCTTAGCCAGCTTCAGCAGGTTGTACCGAGGAAGCGTCAGAGGATGCTCTGACTTGGAGCTTCTGGACTTTTACAGGTAGAATTACCCGTGTCATAACCTTTGTTCTGATGTCTGCCACCTCTCTCATTTCCGTCACTCAATCTCCGTGCGTCCTCACATGTCCTCACGCATAGCACGGAAAACAGATTCTGCGGCATTCGAAGAGCCCTCAGCAGCATCAGCACCAACTACCAAGCCTCGCGAGGCGGCGCCCTACGGGGTCCATCATCTGCAGGCTTCTCCTGCTCTTATGAGTTGAGGGAGTCGGCACAACCATTTGCACACGAGGATTCTCAACTGCTCTTTTCGCAAGCTTGTAACGCAAAGTAAAGTTTTCCTGCCACGCCGCTCTAAGTTGCAAATCTCTGCTGACGGTTGGCAGGCCTATCTTGGCTTCTGTCGCGCGGAACTGTTGGGACATGCACCCCAAACATGAATGCTGCATCAATCATTCGATTCCTTTGACCGGGACGAATCCAAAAAGAAGCCCCATGGACGCAGCCGTCCAGAACATGTATGGGGGATGTCGGGGCTGGTTCGAGGCACAGTGCTTTGGGCTTCAGGCTTTCATCGGGAACCACAAACACCGAGCAAACGTAGCCGCACGCTTGAAATTTGAAAGGCATGCATTCACTGAGACAGTCACTACCTACTGGAATTGTCCTCGCGGCGCGAATCAGAGCGGCGGAAGCCACCGTCATCCTGACTACCCTTCCATGATTCAGCTGTCTTCAAAGGGGGAAACCTGGGGCCTTGCAATGATTCTTCATCAGTCCCCATGGCTTGGTTCCACTGCATGCGACCGGTTGTCCTCGCGCTGCGATCCTTGCCGTCTCGGTCCATCATCCTGAAATGTGATAATCCAGATGGCAGGAAAAGGATGCTGCCAGCACCGCCCAATACACCAAGGAGAAACAGGGGCAGGACCAATCCTGTCAGCAAACATGGCGTGTTTCGTTCAACCCCTAGAATCTGAGCACCCTGCCCGGCGCCAGCTGTCTGCGTTGTCGACGCGACCTCCGCCGGCGGGGCGGCGCCAGCTGCCTGTTTGCATGGGGTCATCACATTAACATGGCTCGTCCAGCTGCTGGCGTCTGGGTGCTTTTCGCACCCTCCAGCCCTTCTCACTCTGAGGCTCAGGAGGGTGAAGCAACATGTTGTCAAGAATGCAAGCGCAGGGCTGGGGGTACCACTCTAGCAATCGTGCGCAGCCGCTACCGGAGGACAAGAACATGCCGAAGAGCCTTCATCCTCCCCACGTGCACCTCCGCCCTTGCTGCCTTAGCCCGGGTATCGAATCTTGATAACCACTTGCTGCGGCATGTCTGGCAAGACCCGAGAACAAACAAAGAGAGGCAAAGAGAGGAGGCAAAAAAGATAGAAAGAAAGGAAACTTCAACTTCCCCAGAAGGCGCCTCCTGCCAGCAAAGCAAACCATTGCTAGTGATATTTCTGATGATTTTACTCTGAGGCTCGGGGCGAAATCGCAAGCAGTTGGCAGAGGTGGCCCAAGGCAAATCGAACCGAAGGAGGACGTGAGCAAAGAAGTCGGTTTTTCTGGTTTAGCAATAGCCATTTTTATCAGAAATATTGCAATGTGGCTGCAGGCGGCAATGTTTTTCGGCTTCTTGAGAGCTTCGAGGCCCGCACCGCCTTTCGGCTCTTCTCGCTCCTCGCGGCCCTCGCCCTTGGCTCGCGACGGACGCCATGGGCCTGGCTTAGGCACTTGCCAAGAGCAAGCACTCTGTCTATTTGACTCTATCTCAGTCTCACACAGGGCCTTACTTGCGCTTTCCTCCCCAACAGGTCAAGTTCAGTGGCAGTCTGCTGCCTGGATTTTCACCATCACGGCCCTCACCCTTGGCCCGTGAGGGGCGCCAGGGTTCCTTGCCTAGGCTTCTGGCGCTCAGAGACGCTCAAAGTTTCACACCAGACCAGTCAATCTTTAAGCTCGCTTCACTGTGAAGCTGGCGGCGAAGCCAGACTCTCAAATTCTCCCAAACACAATCCTTTCCCACTGGACAGATCTCAACAACATTTGCCAGACTTCTTGAGTCTACCAGCGCACATTTCGCGAGTCTTGGTTGCAGAATTTCGGCAGACTAGGTCCCAAGCATTCGTACGCCAATCTGAGGCTCAAGCGCTCTGGGGCAGCATCGGCCCGGGGCTCCTCGGCAAGGAGCACATTTCCCACAAACATACGAATGATTCATGCTTGTCACTGGCGGCTAGCATTGGTACCAGCACCACTTGGAAAGCAAAACCAACAAGTGCTCCGAAATCTGTTGGTGCAGCTCTGCCGCTGCAACCTCTCAAACATCTGACATGCAGAGATCAGGATTTGCAGCCTCTCGTGGCTTGTGCATTCAAGCTTTTTCCAACATGTGAACCCATTTTGCCAAGCGGCATCTGCAGCTGGCCGGCGCCAGTTGTCCTCATCGGCACGGCTGCTTGGCCCGGTCCTCCGAACACGCTTGGTATCTTCTGACCTCATGGCCTTGAGATTGGATTTGGGTGTTTCGTGGGCCGAAATAAGATCACACAAGAGACCTTGCAACTCCCAAGGCTTGCCTGCCCTTCAGCGGCACACGTGACGTGATCACATCTTCTCCACCACCGGCTTCATGCTGCGCGGCATGAGCCTGGACCACCCCTTATTCTCTAAGGCTGGCCTTCCGCCTGCTGCAGGCCGGCGTGGCCCATCCTGCCAGGAGCCCTTCGCCATCCATTCGATTCGCTACATGACAACAATGAGGCTGAGGAAGTGAAGTGCGATTGCAACAGCTTCTCAGGATTGCCAAAACCAAACTAAGAGGGTGGCAAAACTGAAAGTGGCAACTGAGGCCATTGAAGAATTGGAAGATGCTCTCCGGCCTCTTGCTCGCCTCTCTTGCGCCAATCATCCCGTGAACTGGACAGGCGAGATGCATCAGAGGATTGGACTCCGAATCTTCACCCAGTGTCTACCTTGACCTTGACAGCTCCTTTTTGCCCAGGCCATGCTGCAGCCAATCTAAAGATTGACAGCTAGCTACGGCTAGTTAGCCCTTTGGGGTTGCGGGCGGGCGCTGAGCTTCTCACGCGTGCACAGCACGTGGAAAGATCGATGTCACAACATCTGTAAGGTCCAGCAAAGAAAACTCCTTCATCATAACCCTTTAATGGAGCTGCCAATCGCACACAGGACTGTCAGAACGAGTACGTCCGGAGAGCTGTGGCGGGCCTTTGAACATCTCCACCGCGGCGTCTGTCACCTCGTGGTGGGCTGCTTTCTAAAAACCCAAACAGCAGGAACAGGATTCCAAAGAGTAGAAGCCTTGTTTGTCAGAAACATATCTCTTGGCGGATGTTAAGTGTTCCTTTGACTTGAAGGAGCAGATTCAACCCAACCAAGTCTACATGAGCATGCAAGAAGTCAGGTCTTGGTAGCACGACTTGATGCAGCTTCAAATGCATTTGCTAAACCAGCGCGTGCTTGGCATGCTGATGTGGACTTCACTGACTTCACATTAGTGACCCTACCCCCAAGTATAAAATCCCGGCGGCGTCACACAATAACAACTATACCCAAATGTAATATTGCAAAATGAAAATAGAATAAGTTCATTTCTCAGGGACAACGATGGTTGATTAGATTTGACTTGAATTTATATAGATGTTGATACCTACATTTTGGGCATTATTTTTCCGGAGGCCCCACCAGATGGAGATAGAACAATCGGGGGGGGGCTATGTTAAGCCAACATTGCTGCTGGTGAGTTACCTTCCAAACGCAGGTCTATAAAAATGTGTCATGCACTGTCCCGGAACTGCTAATTCTTGCTAAAACTGATTTTGACATCAGGGCCGCAAAGGCCTTTCATTTCACTTTCGGCAACTCATCTCAACTGTGGCCCGACCTGCGGCAGCACCTGCTCCGGCGCCGGCACCACCAGCAGCACGTCGGTTGGCCGCTGCCTGGTTGGCAAACTAGCTCATAAACACCACAAAGGCTAAATGTGCAAATATTTGCAAGATTCCTGGAGCATTTCACAAGCCAGTCACAAGCACAAAATCCCTGACGCCTCACGTTCCAGCGCCTGCTTCTCTTCAATCTCCCGTTCCTCGGGGCTCATTTTGCATGGGCTCCAGAGAAAGGCCTGTGCCTGTAAATCCTGTTTGTGCAGCCCCCTGCGCGCAGCAGATGCGGGCTAAACCCAAGCTTGATTCCGTCAAGTGGCACGCTCGCGGCGTTTCTCTTCCTGACGCTCGCGGCCTCGGCTCACAAAAAACGCAACAAAATCCCACAACCCAACTACACAAGCAAAGGCATGACAAGTTCGTATTGGGAGCTGACAGTTTGCTTTTTAATCTGGAGGCTAGGCTTCACACGTTCCTCTTCCTCTCTTCGGCGAAGTTCCTGGATGGAACGCAGTTGACGGAAAGAATGCTGCAGCTACAGTCGCCTGCAAAGCTTAGCTTGCTTCTCAGCCTCAATGCTGCCTAGCAAATACACATTGAACTAGAGGGACTAGAAGTACTGCTCAACCGGTATGAAGGCCACCGGCATTGAATTCACTACAGCCATGGTTTCACACCGGATCTGCGCTTGTACATACTCAAGATCACCTTAGCACCATCCCGAATCCCCACATGAGACTGAGCGCGGCTGCCTCAGCCGCCTGCTGCTCCTTGCGCTCGCGGGCCAAGCGCTCCTGACCTCAAATGTCAATTGGACAGGCAACTTGTACTGTGATGGCGAGCAGAGTTGGCTGGCACAGTTGCAGATTTCCCTTTCGACGTTGCAGCGTCCTGTCCGTCTCAAAGCCTTTTCGCATCTTTTCGGTGCTCTGCAGTGGAAGGGGCTTGCATTCCGAGAAGTTCCACCCTCTGCTTGAGGCGCAGCACCTTCTTCCGTACATGATGCGCTCAGGGCCAGGAGCATCGGAGTTTAAGCCTTCACACGAGTTAACCCCTCCATGGGTAGGGCTTGCCCAGTTCACAGTAGAGCCATCTGCTGCTTTCATGGCGGCCCCTGTCTGTTCAGCCCAAAGATCTGGATGGTTGTCGTCATGTAAGGAAAGCGCTGATGGCCGTGCTTGAACGTGCCGGCTGCCGCAGCCCGACACCACCGTTGATCCCAGGATTCCAAGGATGTTGGAGTAGTGGCAAGCTTAGAAGACCGTGTCTAGCTCAAAGCTCAAACATGTTCCAGGCGCCTGACAAGGACACAGCTTGAAGAGCAAACAGACTTTCTGGCTTTCTGGAACAAGTTGCCAAACATGCAGCAAATGCAGCTGCGCCTCTTGCTACTTCTGCAGTATTCAAAACCTGTCACGTGCCATGATGGCAGTGGCTGCCCAGCACCACTATAGATGACGATTCAAAGCCGCACTGCGCGCCTCCTCCCCTGCATCCTGCTCCTTCCACTTGCGGCGCGCCTCCCTCTCTTTGGAAAAGAGCTCCTGTGGGGCCCAACGTCCGCCGTTCCAACAAGCTCTCGCGCCCACAAAGCCAAATGAGCTAGTGCAGCAGTGACGGTCCTGAAGCTTTGCTGCCTCAGATTTCGCAAAATCCAGCGAGTCGCAAAGGAGAAGGTTGTCGAAAACTGATCCTTCATGGACTGTCCTTGTCACGATGCCAACTTTTGCTGTTGCTGCATGTAAGAATCTACGACCATTTACTAGCTAAGCGGTGAAGGAAAGCATGTTATTGTGTGGAAGTGTAATGGCTTCTAGCTCTGTCGAGCTCAGACCATGCAGTCTTCGGGAAACACTTCAGCCTATAGGAAGCAGTGTACGCATCAGCATCTACACATGTAGCAGCAGTCACAGAGGCGATCTACTTCGAAGATCTCTCTACTCGCCTGCCACACACACGTTGTACCAAAAGCCTCTGCAGCTTTCTTCGAATATCTTCGAATCAAAACTCACCTAGCCAGGAGCGCCAGGAAGATGGGATGTGCTGGGAGCTGCCCAAGCTTCCAGAGGTCAAAGCCCACCGCTCCAAGGTCAGTGTAGGAGTACACCTCCTCCTCCTTGGAAGCGCAGACTATGACGGCCCGACAAGGCTCTTGCGTGACCTGCCCTCGAATGTATACTGCTATGACCCAGCAGATTTGCTAAATGTCACGGATGATGAGACGGATGTCTATGGATCATCAGGGGCGGACTATTGCTGCAGGGTTTTTGTGGAGAATGCATCGAGGATTCAAAAAGACAAGAGCAACAACAGAGGGCCTAACTTGCAGACAGGAATCGTAGTCAGGATTCCCACGCTGCCGAGGCCTTGCAGAATCCACTTCGGGCACAAACTATAAACTGCCTCTGCAAGCTCGAGGCCTGCTGACCTGGTGCCCCTGCGTTCCCCTTGCCAAATTCCCATACCATGGAGCCTCCAATGACCGCGAAACTCAGGATTGTCTACCTGGCGGCCACAGCTCGGCAACTGTCATTCCTGACTGCCGAGAAGATTACGCAGCAGAGAATCTAGTCTTTGTACTGGACTTCGGCGTCATTTGTAGAGGAAGTGTCAAGCATGGCAGGCTACCATGGCAGGAAACCAGGGCCCCTGATATAGCGGATTCTCGATGAGAGGCGCTTCGAAGACGCCGTCCTCCAGCCGATGCAGAAAAGACTCCAGACTCATCTGTCACGAATCCTGGATGTACGACCGACTTGTTACTGAACAGCCTACTTGAAAAGCTTTCCTGGCACAGCACCAGCCCCGACACTACAATGACCTGTAGATCAAGGACTTGAAGGGCAGTGGCGCATTCATTTTTGCGTGAGATGGTTGCAGTCAAACCTTGTCTGCCTTCGCACCCACAAGGGCCACAGCTTCAGCGCTTCAGCTCCGAGGATCCCGGCGGAGCGCAGCTCCAAGCTGGCAAGCTGGCGTGTCCGAGTCTGGTCAGCACCGCTGAGGCCCCAGGTACAAGACATACACTTGGTGAGGCATGAGGCAGAAGTACTTCACGATTGCTTTCGCTTTCGTTAGGGGCAAAGCGGGGGTTCCCGGCCGGCAGTAGCTGGCCCCTTTGTTCATGTTCGGTATCACTTTGTGAGAAGAAGAGTTCACTTCCTGTTCCTAATCTTAATGTGCATCACGCGGATGATCTCCGGCAAACTCTCTCCCTCCCCCTCTCCCCTCTCTGTGTGTGCCTACTTGCAGCACTGGCAACAGAATAGTCGAGTAACTCCAGCTGGCCTCCTCATCATCCCATTCTGGCGGTTTCCAGGCCGTGCTGTCTGGAACAAGTTGGGTGTCCACCCAGTTCTCGGGCTTCTTTATCTCCTTAGCCCCGCGAACTAGCGAAAATGAAATCCATCTCAAGGTAGGCTCCTCCGTGCTACTCAGAGATGCGTAGCCTCTCAATTTATGTCAGCTGCTGTAAAGCTTCAGGATCCACAATTCGGCGGGTCTCCACCCAATCCTCCGGCTTGCGATCAGTTGGGTCATCAATCGTCTTGTTCGGAAAGGCCCAATAGTCGTGAAGCTCACCTGAAGACTTTTCCTTCATGTCAATGTAGACCTTGTACGTGTTGTCTGGTTTCAGCAGCAAAGTGAAGATATGTGTGAACGCATCGCGGTCATCATACTCCAGAGGTATCTCTGGAGATCTGTGCAAGTACCTTCCTTGCCAGTTGAAGATCAGGTGCACAGCTGATGTCTGGAATCCGCAAATATCTGGGCCAAACCTGTCAAGACGGGAGCCTTTCCAAAAAAAAGCAGCGCTTAAAGTTTTCACTAATCCGGGAACGCCCTCTATGACTCCGTGATTCCATGAGATTTCCAAGACGCATGATCTTGTACGCCGTGTCCGGTCCGAATGATTTCTGGTCAAGGTCGCTGCCCATCAACTTTACATACCCGCCGCCGCAGAAGGACATATCCTCATTCCTTGCTGTGCAATGAGGTGTCTATGGGACTCAAACACGAACGGTGCAAGCCCTGCACTGCTGTAGCCCGGCGTCTCATGCTTTACGGTGAACTGCAGCACGAGATCCCGTCCTCACCAAACATTTGGGATCCTACGGCTTCATCTCTGCGACTCCATGAACCGAGCCAATTTCTAAGCACGAGCGGGAACTTAAATGGCCTCGAAAGGCCTGAAGGATTTGCACCAAAGATTTCTGTGAAAACAATGAAATCTGCACCCTGAAATTGCCCTTCCTCTGTTGGTGAAATTCTGCAGCAGCTTTGCAGAGATGGCATGGCGTCGGAGGGCCCCAGTAGTCCTCAAGCCTCGGCACCCCGGGTAGACAAGCCGGGTCAAATCTCTGCACCAGAGCCATGGCCTCGCTGCTGGGACTCGTTGGCGAACCATTTCCCTGCTGACCACTCGAAAGGTGCCGTGCCTGCCAATGGGACCACATCAACTCAGGCAGTTGCACGTCATGGGTGCTGTGAGGTCATGTAAATTGACCACTACTCTCCTGGGCAAAGCCCACCGGACCTTGGAACTTTAGAAGTGGCAGCACCCTCGTGTTGCATCTTTGCCAATTAGATACCGCCACAGCTGCACTGCGTCTTTGCTGACAATGTTCACCCCTCACAACGGTCCGTGCCTGGCAGCTGGGAATTTACCCACCGCGACTCCCAGGACCCATCAAACGTTTCATGGAAGTGAACCTCAGCTTGATTGCCAAAGCCACGTTTCGACAGTCTTGTCATGCATCAGATCCAGGCTTCGCAGGCTTGTAAAAACAGGGCCTGCTGCATCCCAAAAGCTCCCAAGCTTGTCAGATTAGCTCGAGTACATACAAAGACCTGCAGGTCAAGCAGTCCGCCGCTATTACCTACATGCGATTCAACACTCCCGCCCCTGACATGGGTCTCTGACGCTGGGTGCCGGCTTGCCCCGGCCGCCATTCGCAAGCAGAAGCGCCAGCAGCGGGCACAACGGATGCACTGCCATAGAGGTTGAAGGCATCCAGGGTGGCATGAAGATAAGTTATGAGCCGGCAACGATCACCAGGTGAATGAATGCATGAAGAAACTGGGTAGTCTGAAAGCTTGAACCTCAGCACCAACGGAGACACGAACCGCCACTACGCTAATCTCGGTTGTCTTGGCTCAACCCGGCAAACTCGTGAGCAAAGCCGGACAGCCTTAGGCGATCCTAGGCTACGCCCGCAGCCTCTACGTGCCTGAGATGGTGCTGACTTGCAATGAGTCTTCCAAGTCATAGGAATCCAGATTGGGAAAGCACTGCTCAGTCTTGCAACCTCTTTACCGTGAACCCTGCCAGTTATCTGCAGGGTTGAGAGGTGGTGAAATTGAGTTGGATCTCCCGAATGCTGTCTGAAACCTTGCCCGGTGAATCACCACTGAACCACCCTGCAGCTAGCAGAAGTCGGAGTTGAAGCCCAATGCTGCCTGCCAAAACCATCAGGTCTCGGCCCCCAGCGTTCTGCCTCCTCCTGCTCCTCAATCTCCCTCTGACGGCCTCAGTCTTGTCACATGTCCCGGATGTCGACTCGCAAGAATCAGAACAAAGACACAAAAGACATACACCACCCCGTACCTGTACACCGGCTTTGGAAGAAAGAAGCGTGTCACAAGATATGCCCACCTTGCTTCTGACGTGCAAGACGCACAACGCATCACAAACTACGACTGATGCGTGTCCTTAAAACTCAAGGCCAGCAACATCAAGCCTAAATCCCAAACAGTCTCCGTCAGTGTGAACAGCCACTTTCTCAGGCCTACACGGCGTTCCTCCTCCTGCCTCTGTCGCCGTTCGCGCTCTTCGCGGTCGTTCCGCTCCTCTGCATTGACTGTGTTGATTTTCCGGCAATGAGCTTCATTAATTCTGCCTGCCAAATGTCCAACACATGTCCTAACCTCCTGCATCTAGGCCATTCTGTTTGTCAGGTTATCACAGGTCGTCGAAAGTCCTTCACATGCTGGTCGCGGCGCTGCTTCGCCCGTTCAATCTTGTTCTGCACAACCTTATCTGGTTGAATGGCAAGTATGATCTAAGGTGTGCACTGCTCTCGAATTATATCGTCTCTGGCATCGCATCCACACATTCAGATACATCGAGCGATCCATGTGAGATAACTGCTTCTCATAAGCCTGATGGAGGATATGACTGTCAAATTGGCGAGGGTGCAGACGCCTCGCCTTCTTCGTCAGGCGGTGAATCTGCGCTTCGCGCATGTCTTCCCACTCTCCACCTAGGACCACATTCAATTGAAAGCACCATCACGGAACCTAGCCCAGTTGACATCTCAGTCGTACCACCATATCTCTTTAGCTTGGTCCTCGATTTGAGCTCTTGAGGTGCCAGACAGGAAATATTGCTGCATCATTATGACGATTTTCCCTGGCGGCGTCTGCACAAAGCCACTAATGCAGTCAGGCATCGTCGAGGTTCCAGCTGCTGCTCCGCCCAGGTGTCCTATCTTTCGCAAGTTTGCAGGAAACTTGCATTTTGACCAAGTGCACTGTCTGCCAATGGCTCAGTCGAACCCTATTAATTCCGGATGAGATTTGACGCATGGCTTTTGTGTTCGACTGCTTGAGTCTCTGTTAGACTGTTAGGTATCTAAAGGCAGACATCACAAAGGATCCGGTCCCTGACGTGCTGGAAGGGCAGCAACTCATCCTTCTCCTTCAACCTCGGCATTTTGGTTGAGATTGCTCTGTTTTGACGCACAGCCGACGCCAGTTGCATCAAACCCAGGAATGCGCTTGACTGATTGGTCTAGTCAGGGGTCTGTCTGTTGCAGAAGTCAACACACACCTAGGCAATGCTCATGCAATACTAACTCGCGCGGACGAATCTATTTCAAAAGCTAGTTCACATGCGTCGATCCAACATCCTACATCCACGAGGCTCTGACAGATTCTCGTGCTGCTTGCGCTGCTCCTCCTGCTTGGCAGCCTCGAACCTCTCCAACCTTCCAGAGAAAATCCTTTCACCAGCTCTCAAGAACTACACAGTGCATCACAGTGCAGGGTTTCCCACCACACTGCGTTCCTACCCGCACCTTTCTGATGGGGCCAACCAACTTGCCAACGCTGCTGAAGCCGCACATAAATTTCCGCAGCGTGTGCTAGGGGGAGAAAGGGAGGCGAACCCATGAATATCTTTGCTGCAGGCGTTTCTGTCGCAACATTCTGCAGTGCATCCAAGTTCTTCCTCAACTCTGTCTGAGACCCCGGCTGCTCAGCATCCAGCTTTTCGACGTCCGTGGCCCACTGCTTCAGCAAGGAACCCTCCTGTTCCCAGCGTACACAGTAGATGTGTTCCCCAAGATTCCAAGGCCTGGTAAAATGCTGGAACAGTAGACTCTGCATCTGGGATATGTCGATCAAAACGTTGCGCTCTATGTCAGCTCCCAAAACAGATGCAAAACAGCAACATGGGATCTAGATGACGGACATTACATAGAATTGAAGCTGATGAATGTGAGTCAGCGGCAGGAGGCCGAGCAGAACAAGGCGCAGCAAAAGATGACGGCAATCGGCTTTATTCACAATAGGGAACATGTCGACGACGAGGCGGATAGGTAGTGATGCTCCATGATAATGATACTCCGGACATCTCAGGACGGCGGCGATGGTAACGATGATAATGGCAACGCAGTAGGTGTAGCATGACCGCAATGACCACCCTCATGAAGAGAATACTGATGACAATCCCTATACAGTGACAATGATGTTGGTTGTGCGATGACTATGGCAAGAAGGATACGGATGAAGATGGACAGTTACCTAGCAGCAGTGGATAAGCCGAACTTTGCTGGCAAGTGATAGATGGCAAGTGTCGAGGTGGCCGTGTGATGCGTGGATATGCTGGGTGACTGCGAAAGATGGCATACAATATGCAGACATCATCCCATGTTAGGTAGTGGCGGAGCATTTCACATGATAGCTGGCTAAGGGACAATGGTGAGAAAATAGCTGTGAGTTTGATGCCGTAGCAGCAGCGATGCTGATGATAGTGATACTGGCACAGGACATGTTGCAGCTGATGACAATAGTGCTGGCGGCACTCATGGTGTGAGTGAGGGTTCTATGGGAACCCCACATATGTCCTGGTATGCCAATTCATAAGCTTCCACTTCAGCCTCAACCCACTTCCAATCTCCCACCCACACACACCCTTGCTCAGATAGCATTTAGCACCCCCTAGCCAACATCAGAGCCAAGTTCAACTCGGCCAGCTCAGCTTCCATAGCTTGCACTTGGCGGCTTTCCGGATTCCGATCAAATGACTTGGCGCCTTCTACGATACGTCACACCTCGAAAATCGAACACGCAAAAACGCCAAGCCTCCTCGCGCAGGGCACGAGCCAGGTGGTCGACGCCTTGCTTAAAGCTATCCAAGAAAACCCCGGCATACTAGGAAGCAAACTGCGTGAGGAACAAGGTTTTCCCATGACAAGTTGTAAGTTGTAAGAAGCCCACGTTTGCTCTCAGCCTTGCGCTGTCGGATCTTATCCTGGCCATGCCACGGATGCGGTTCTCGGTTTGGGCTTGCAAAATACAGGAGCTTAGTTACACCAGGTGCTCGAGCCCGAATCATCATCCAGTGTGTTTTGACGCATGCTAGAAGCTTTGTGGAGCACGGACAATTTAACCTGAGAAAAGTGCAACTTCCCAAGGGCACTTCAGGTCACGCATCTTCCGTTGGGGCTTACAGCTAGTTTGTGCCTGCAATACATTTTTAACTGTTGGATCTACAATGATCTACACCAAACAGAGTTGGTGACGACGTGGCAGACATGCTTGAGGAAGCATGGCTGCTCCAGCACTGTTTGGTCAGCTCACCCCTCCGGGCTCCTGTCTCTCCTTGAGCACCTGGGCCTCACGAGCCTTTTCGATCTGATCGAAGCCTTTGCTCAAGCAACTTACGCCACCCCGGCTGGGTAGAATTTCTGACTGAGACGATTGGATGATTACGGGTCACCGAGTGTAGCTCCAACCACCGGACGCTGGGCTGAGGGCTGATGTTGGTCAGGTCATCTGCCTCAATCCTGGGCAGAAAGACACGGCATGCTCATGAATTAGACTTCTCACCCATTCCATGACCCACTCAGGTCAGATTGCCTGCGCTTCAGAGATGATTCATGCTTACAGCAAGCACATAGCAGCATCATGACGAAGGCCGGGCTAACATGTTAAGTGTCTTTTCAGCTGAGTCTGGACGATAACATAACTCATACGAATAACGAAAGTGTCTTAGGGCGTGAGCTCCGTGATCTTCTTTCCAGCGACCTGGACAAGTCATGCCTTTGGCCGTGCTGGTCGGAGATTGAACTCGCAAAATGTGCCGATCACCGGTGAATCGCCTTGACGTTGGTGGCTTTCTGTTCGGCCTGTTTCTTCATCTGCTCCAGCCTTGAAGCAGCACTGCTTGTATCACTGCGCAAGAAACGTTGTTCCAGTGAACAGCGCATGTGTTGGCTTCAAAGAGACAACTGCAAAAAGCTAGGGGCCCCGACATTTCCAGGTTCTTCTGCAGCTCAAGTTCCTTCTTGCGCTGCTCCTGGCGGCAAGGAGCTTGAAAAAAAAGTGCGTGGTGATCAGCACTGTGAGCGCGTGAACGGGCACGCGCATGTCGCCGCTGATGCTTGATGCCATGGATGCAATATGGTGCACCAGAAAAACAAGGGACACCCATAACGTACACAACTGTGAACAGTTGGGGGTGAATGATGCAAAACCATTGAGGCTACAAGCAAGCGGGCAATGATGCTTTGGGAAAACTTCTGCGAACGTCCATGAATAGAACCTGCTTCTCAACCTCGCGCCGCTTGCGCTCTTCTTCTTGCCTCAAGTCGGTGGGAACGCACGGCGACGGCTAGCCGCATGTTCAAGTTGCTTGTTGGACACTCCAGGCCAATGTGGGAGGTGGGTACTGCTCCATCTTGCATGATTTCGAGCATTCTACCATCGGTACATTTCTGCATCTCTGATTTGTTTGGCAGAGCAGATCGTGCTTTTGACAAGCACACACGCTTCCTGCAAGTTTGGTCATGTGAGCAGTCACCCCGGGAAGTCCTTGAACCCTTCCTACGAGTGGCAGAAGCCCCTGCACAAATTGCCATCCAACCCTTCCAAACCACGAGAGCAACTTCTCCGGTCAGCCTGCGGCGCTCTTTCTCGGCCTCCAAAGCCTCCTCCTTACGTTGCCGCTCCATGGCCTGCAAGCAAATGTTTTATCAAGAGTCTCACAGGAGGCCAAGCGGTCAGGCAGACACTTTGAAGGCGACCAGATTTGCTTGTGGTTTGTCCTCTTTGCAGCTGAGCCTACAGTTCGAGGGGGCTGCAGTCGTGCGCAAGAAGGATGGTAATGCTTCTGGACAGGTCCAAAAAAAGGCTGCGCATGAAGGCATTCTGGATCATACTATGTGCCAAAGAAAATGTTGTGAAAGTGGCAGCCTCTCTCTCCAAGATCTGCTTGCGGCGCTCACCTCAATGATGACTTCTCAACTCCTAACTCTTAGCTGCTCGAAGTTATCAAGAGCTTGCCTACCATCACTCTTCAACTCAAGACCCAAGGACACGACTCTCCTCCTTGCGCCTCTCGATCTCCTCTTTTCGGAGTCGAATGGATCGAGTTTCCTGACGCCCCAGAGCGCGCTTTTTGCTCTTGGCCAACCTTCCCCCAAGACTATTGGGACCACCTGTATATAGAAGCGGATGAAGCCAGAGCAGCACGCAGTCCTGCTCCATCCTCTCCTTGATGTTGGTGAGCAGCTGCCTGCGCACTCCCCAGAGCACCCACACACATAGCCCAGCCCCACAGCAGGCTGTTTAAGGAGACTACCCGGAGCGAAATTGGAGCGTGGCGCGGTAGTGCGCAATAGTACTTTGACGATTCCATTTCCAGTAGAGGAGGGGAAGCGGCGATCTTTTCATGCATTGATGTGCCACAAACCGCACACCAAAGGCTCGGGCTGCTTCTCAAGCTTGTCTTTTCTCTGCAGCTCTTCCTGCGCACCATCCCAAAGAACAAAAGAACACCGAGCTCACATGGACACAGCTTTCAACACGCACAGCGTGCAGGCATGCTAGACCATCCACCTGGCAACTGTTGAGGCCAGTGCATCAATTCAGAAGCAGTCATTCGATGTCACCTGTCATTCTCTCTTGCCCTCCGAGGTCCTGTGCGACGCACTGCATAGCCTTCAGGCCATGTATGAACAGGTTCACTTCAGAAATGCCAGGGCCAGCAGCATGGGGCAGCTGGACGTGCGCAAAGGAGAAGTAGAATGGCATGCTGACCCTTCCATAGCCTGCTGCAGCTTGAAGCCTGGGAAACATCATGGGCAAGCGCAGCATGCCATGCGTGCAGGTCTTCTTCCGTCTACAAGGATGAATCAGTACGCAATGGAAACGCATGCTAGGATGCAGAATTTCAGCTCTGAATGAGGCCGCTGCCGATCTCAATGAGAGGCTGGCGCATGCTCTTCCTCAGGCAGACGCTGCAGGTTGCACATTCACATGCAGGCATGCCACCAGAGATGCCCGGAACCGAAGGGTGAAACTAGACATGAACGATGGGGCGTGCCGACGTCTTCAGTGGTAGTACAACGAACAACGAACATGCACGTTAGCCAAGCAACTTGATATTCGATGGGAACTCCCCAATCACTACACGTGCTGGCATACGCGAAGGAGCGCGGATACGCCATGATACACCTGCTGTCCTTTTCATAAATGAACTAGCAGGCCCTGGCAGAAGAAACAGCACAACGACGAAGGTACATGCTGCTTACAATGTCCGCACCAAGAAAAAGAAAGGCTCCGGCATGTCCACTTTTGTGGGGGCACCGAAGATGATGGCCTTTTGCATGTAGTTGATCTGAATGCTGATTCCTGCCCGGCACTCCAGAAGGCAGCACTAGGTCTCATCGTGTTCACAGCAGACAACTGGAACAAAGCACGTCCTGCTAAGACAATGGACAAGCCGCTTCAGGCTGTAGTAGTGCGACCTACGCAGTTTGGCCTTGTTGGCGCGAAGCGTTGGCCATCCAAGTCTCGGCAATATTGAACGGCCTCAGGTGGGTTTGGTCGAAAGTCTTCTGACAGTGGCACCTGAGGTCATCAGCTTTGCCTGCATGTCGCCTCATGTAGAGCCTATCTTGACTGGCAGCGTTCAGAGGCCATGGCACGATGGAGGCAGCGTTCTCAAAGTCTTCGATGGTCATGCTTACATACACCTGTCACTATCCGTAGACTGGCTAAAATTCTCAGCACCAATCCAAACCGTCCGTGCACATGGCGCCAAGCTGGCTTTCGCTTGTGAACAGTTGAGAGCCTCTGAGAGTTGCTTGATGAGGCGAAAGAAGATGATCTGCTTCAGCGGGATTACCTCGACATGGTCAAGCAGCAAAAGGCATGCCGCCAAGGAGGATTGGAGCCAGCGCTCCGGCTGACATCTGTCACTGCATGTGTGTTACTGCCTCTTCTCTCTCGCCATGCACTTAGGCTTCTGGCACATACCACAATATACCACACAAGGGTTCAAAATCGGAGGTATGCGACAGCAGTGCTTTCTCTGAGCACCCTGGCGTAGTCTTTGAGCTTCCCCTCGCAGATTTCATCTGAAGCGATTTGGTCGAGGTAGGGCTTGGCATCCTTGCAGCTGTGGCGATTGCAGGAAATGTCGCAGTTAAAGCTTCAGAGCTAGGGGCTGCCCTCATCTCATGCAAGTCCAGTGGTCCTGGCACAGCGACAGCGGAGTGAAGTCGGATTCCACCTTCAGAATGCACAGAAGTAGAGAAGTAACATGGCCAGCCGGCGAGGCTCATACAAGTCAGTTTTGCTGCATGTGCCGATTCTTCAATTTCATCATGGTCCACATGCTAGAATTCTCAGGCAAAATTGACGGTTTGGAAAGCGCTGCAGCAGTACACTGCTGTTGAAAGTGGGTTGTAGACTCAAATGGGATTCCTGAAAGGTCGTCTGCACGTTCCACTTTACCTAGGTTTACCTGACCAACACCGAAGCCAAGGACCCGGCCAGTCCAAAGAGCTTGGCACAAGGTTCAGCGGCCAGGTTCAGCCTGAAGGAATCCGGCGGCAAGAGGTCTTCCTAATACACCCAAACCAGCACAAGCAAAAGCCTCAATGCAAACGAATCCGAAAGCCTGCACAAGCTGACTAAACTTCAAAATCAAAATGCTAGGCCAGGACAAGTCAAGACCCACAACTTCACCCGGCAGATTGGCAGAAAAAACAAACTAGGATAAGCTGACCTTTCCAGCTACTGCGACTATCATGACGACAAACCGCACAAGCACAAGCCTACGAATACACCAAGTCCACCACATCAATGGAACGTATCATCAGATCCCACTTAGATGCCCGTGCATGCTCATCCCGGGTGCAAGAAGGCTTTGCCATGGCCATGCTTGACGGGCCAGTTCACTGTGTTTTAACTGCCGTTGCCGGCAGACACAGGCTGTGATGCATGCCTGAGCTGCTGGCAGATTCTTCTCTGTGATCTGACCTCGCATGGGCGCCCGCGTTTCGCTCTTCACCATGCACAAACGAGATCTCGAAGGGTTGATACTCCGCAAGCCCCTGGCTGCTGATCGAGTCCCGCGTAGGCACCTTGGCTGGCAGTGGAATCTGTGCTACAAAGCCTTCACACGAAAGCAACCCTCAAGATCCCTCAACAATTGTGAGATGATACTGGTTCTTGCACTGCCTCCTCTCTGACAGTAACATGAGCGCGCAGGAGCACAATCGGCCGGGGCCGATGCGCTTTGAGCGCTGAACAGGCCTGCATTCTTCTTTGCCTGCACAGACCAGGCACACTGAGCAACCAGCCAAGAACAGGACATAAATGCTTTAAAAAAGTGTTCAACGTTTGCTTGGCACTTCGCCAGACACCTACCCGGCTGAAATTGAGTTCCCATTTCCAACAGTCAAAACCCACTCAGCTAGGCTTTCATGCTTTTGATCAGGATTGCAGGCGCTGCCTTCTCATACTGGTGCGAGCCGTCTGTGGACATCTCCAAAGAAGCCTGCAGCATGGGGCCTATTTTGAAGGTATTTTCACCCAGCCTTTGGCATGTGTGCGGTACGTCGCTTGCAGAGCAGCTTAGTCAAAGCTGTGCGGCTTGAGACTCTCAGAACTGGATGTAACGTCAGGGTTGTCACCTTTCCTGAAGCTCTTCTGCTTTACGGAACTGCAGCAAACATGGAGACAAGCACCCCATGCTAACGATACTGCACGGGTGAAACACCTGCTCAGCAGGCTCAATCGCATGGCAGCCGTTTTGCGCGCAACAGTTCCAAGATGTTCCAAGTGAATCGGCAGCATTTGGGAGCCCACTTGTTGCGCCTCCGTGGCTTCGGGATGCAGCCTACCATGGTCGAAGTGCTGTAGATTCCGGGCGTGGTGCAGCCAGATTCTGCTAGACTGCAGATGCTCAATTTCCATGGCCACCAGCAGGCTGCTGCAAGGACTGTCAGGCGGGGCTTGACGGACAAGCCCAGCGCATGTGCCAGAGCCAAGCTGGCCGGGAGCTCGGAGCCATGCTAGTCTTCCAGGTCATCGCTTGACTTGCCACCTTTCTTCTTGAGCAGGAAAGCCATCTCCTCTTGACCGCTGGAGACTGCAATGTCCATTGCAGTCCGGCCATAGCGATCTTGATGATTGATTTCCAAACCAGGCTGTCGCAGCAGATCCGCCAAGAGGCCTGGCAATTTTGATTTGACCGCTGCATGCAGCAAAGGCGCACCACGACTGTCACGCATGTTCACGTCGGCCCATGAAGGCCATGCTTGTCCGTCAGCAGGCAAAGCAGCTTCAAGTATGTCCTTCATGACTTTCCCATCGCCGCGATGTACTGCTGGCATAATCCCTCGACTAAAGTTCAGCAGGCTCACATCCGCCGTCATGAATGAAACCACCTCTTCGTGGCCATTCTCAACGGCATGGTCCAAGGCTGTGCGGCCACTGGCATCCATAGCGTTCAGCACAATGCCGCTTCGCAACTCCAACAGCCTCTGTATCACCTTCAGTCGGCCAGCACGTGCAGCAGCAATCAGTGCCGTCTGCCCATCGTCATCCTCCAGCCAAGAAAAAGAAATGCCAGACGTGCCTGCTTTCATATGCTCGGTGACTCAAGTGGACTTCGTAGCTACTTATAACTTAACACTGGACTTATAACCCTACGTATAATCGGGATAACCTAGATTATAAATAAGTTTAGAAGTAATCACTGAGTGAAATGATCCTCCAAGCAAGGCCGGTGGCTTGCTGCCCACGTTTGTTCACTACAAGTCTGTCCTTGGCTTCTACATCGGCAAGCTCCTTCAAGATTAGCCGCTCCACCTGCACGACTGCGAAAAGGTTTGGGAGCAGCTTTTGGAGTGCACACTGGGGATCAATTGTCTCATCTGGGTGCCGCCTGTTCCAAGTTCCCGGCTGCGGCTGCAACCACAAGCTTCTGGCAGGCATCTCCCATGGCCGGAAGAAAAATGACAATGTTGATGCCTCAAAAGAATAAGCATGGCACTGAGCTTGTGATGTTGTGCATCATGATCAACTTGTCCCCTTGACTCCGGTATGATCATGTATGGTCTCTAGGGCTCTAGGATGTCCCTGGCGGTCGGACAGCCTTGCAACAGACGCAAGGCTGCAATCAAGATCAAGCTTAACACCTTGGCACCCGCCATTCCAGCATGCAAAAACGGCAGAGTTCAACAACTCCTGTTTGAACCTTCCGCTCTCGCTGAATCCATAACTTTGCGCCGTCAACTTCGTCAACGCGCATTTCTGGAAACGTACAAAAAAACAAACCGTCAGATCATGTGATGTTACATCATCTGCATATGCTTATCGACTCCGTCACTTGACTTGATTGGATCCTTGGATTGTCCGAGGGCTCAACTAAAAAAGGGTGAAACCGCGGTGAGACAGTGATACCTTGCCTCATGCGTCACGGGCTGCGCTGCCTGCAGCAGACACAACAAATCCAGATTCGCTCCACATGAAACGTGGCTGTCACTGATGGAGGCAACCAATGTATGCAGATAGGACAACCCTTGTCTCCCACGCTCATGCCCTGTTTGAAAGCAGATCTCTGGGCCATGAATGAGAAATGAATGTGCTGCTGTGACTTCGAGGCCAAGGTACAGGTCAGTAAGATGGCTGCGGCAACGGCTGGCTGCCCTTATTGTACTCCTGCAAGGCTCACGGATCGTTCTTTTCTAGAGCGAAACACACAAAGGGCACATCATTGTGCACCTTGTACTTGAGCTCCCGCGCTGACCTGGATCAAATGACATGCTCTTTTCCCTGTAGCTTTCCATCCTTCAATCTCAGCTTCCCGAGCTCTGCACATCGGAGTTCGGCCGTTTCCCTTGCGCTGACCTGCCTTGCCTCCTGGATGACATGTCTGGTAGTCACCATGCGAGCACACCGCTGAAGCCAACGCAGTGTGTCTATGATAGTCTGTCTGCAACAGGTCATGCCGTCCTGGAAGGCGCGGCGTTGTTGGAGATGACTGCTGGGTCGAAGTACCCTCACGTAGCTTCTTGTTGCTCCACCCTCTGACTCTGCAGTGGCTGCTAGGAACGCAGCGAAGTGAAATATCGGGTGCAGAGCAATATTGATGCACGCTATTAACCCTGATACATGGGTTTGCATCTTCTACACATTCATGTTCATCAAAATTTCTTCTGCGCAGCCTCACGCGTATTGGGTTGAGGGTCCGAAATGACTGGTCTGCGCCTTCGCCGTGCTGGCAGTGTTCGCACGGGTGGAGGTTCCTTCCTCCAGATCTCCGAAGCTGTGGAAGCCCTGATCAAAGCTGCGCACGCCCCAGGATTCGAAATTGGCGAGACAGTGAACAACTTACTTAATCAGGGTTCTTCAATTGTGGTGAACGCGGCAAGTTCTTAATAGCCTGCGTCGTCCAGATGGAAGGGAGCTGCTGAACGCTTTCTGGCGGCGGCTTGGCACCGTTGTGCTGGATCCTGGGCAGCAAGACCACCCGTACATTTTAACGGCTTTCAAAACACGAATGCTCGGGTGCGCGTGATGCCGAGCAGCTTCGTGCGCTGCACATCTGCACGCTCGATACGACCGTCCTTGCTGGGCTGTGGTACCAGGGGTTCTGCGGATGGCTGAATTTAGGCTTGCGGAGCAGATTGTCATTAACTTCGAGGAAGGCAAGACTCTGCAACGCTTGCTTGTGCCGAAACTACAAGTTGCAGAAGTTGAATCTAAGTAGGGCATGCTCCAAGAATGCACAAAAAGCACACGATTCGGGCAGGCTTAGGAAGAGCTCGCACAACCTTGCTGCGAAACCATGTTTGGGCCATGGCTGCCTTTGATGGCTCCGACATGGACTGCGCACTGGCTCCTGCAGAGATACGGAGGCCGAGTCACTTCCGTTCATGCTGGGTGTGGTCTACGTGACCGTATTTAATGTTGATGCAGTCCTTGCTTGCTGAGATCAGCGGTATCCATGCGAGAGGCCGAGTCTTCAATGGGCAGTGGCTGACTACCTCTGCACATAACGACTATGACAGACACAAAGCTATGCTATTGGTTGGGCAAGGCTGAACACAGATGTGCTTCTGTAAGCGCAGAAGTACGGACGTGAGTCTGCAAAAGCGCATTGCCGCCCACACTCTTGCATCTAATCCGACACAAGATGGCCTACCACACGTCCAGAACCAAGGGGCTCATGGTAGTCTTGGATGCCTGCTGCGCTTCCTCTATTTCCAGCACCAGCCTCTGCAGCATGCTATGCACAGCTATTCACCCCTGAGTTGCAACCGCTTGCTCAATGCTGCAAAGCATTTCTACTCTGCATGAAAAAGCAGACTGACCTCGGTGGATTTATGCATGTCCAGCTGAAGGTTGCAGACACAAACGGCTTGAAAAGCTTCTCTTGAGTGCCAGGGAGCTCTACCGATTCATCCACTGGATCGATGACATTCCTCATGCATTTCTGAGCCAACCACCATGAACAAGCGTTGCTACTGGCGTATCCTTGTGTCTGCCTCTAGATACGGGTTCTGGAATTGAGTTGGGAGGACTTGAGTCTTTGTTGGAACTAAAGGGCTTGGCGGCATATCACGGGATGAGCGAGTTGGGACCTCTGTTTTATCCGAACGTTGGAGTCTACGGGGCTCAGGAGCCTGAGGGGTTTGGCCCTGCTCTGTCCAACTCCAGACCCCACCCCAATTTGCGATAAGGTCAGGAGATGCCACGCACGACTTCAGCCGTTTTGAGCTAGCACAACCTATCAACGGTCACAAGCCCACTGGAGCTTCAACTAAGCGCACCAGCATTCTCAGAGCAAAAGCAAAGTATAAGTATTGATGAGGCATGGCCGAAACCAGAAAGAAACAGCATTTGCCACGGTGCTCGAAACGGGCGAAGTTGATGCGCCCGAGCAGCCTCTTGGAAGACAATTTGCAAAGTCAACATCCACGTGCTTTGTAAAATCCGGTAAAGCCCAGCAGCTCTGGTTGGTCAGCTGGCTCCTGGCGTGCCTGCGCAAGCATGCCGGCCCTTCTCCACAAGCATCGGCAAGCAAAGCCCTAGTCAGCTAGCTAGTCGAACGAACTCCCCTCGTTTTGGTGGATTGTGCGTCAAAGTACGTACACCCTTCTCATGTTCCTCCGCCGAAGTTTTGCTGCCCCGCTTGCCTCTTTCCGGAGTCGCCCTGCCCATAGCCAGCAGCGCATGGTGCAATTCGGTGGGCAGCTCAGGAACACGGAGCAGAACCCGGGCCGGGCGCCTGGCTTGTTTCAGCTTGGATGCTTCCAGGTGGCCAGAAGCCCCAACAATGGATCCAGGTTTCTCTGGGAATGAAGGATTACTGTCAGAGCTCCCTTGCGGGGATTTTACCGAAATGTATTTGTTCCTGCGGCGTCAGCATGGGGACCACGTAGCATGGCTTGGTTATGATGACACAGCTCGCGGCTTGACAAGCATGAACCTTTTTGGGAATGTAGTCACAGAGTCATGGGTGCGCACGTGCTCCTGTCTATTTCCAAACACGCTTGCGAACTCATGCAGCATATTATACTCGACCGCGGTCCACAGCCCTCAAAACGAAGGTGCCTGCGCAGCCTTGTGGATAGAAAACAAGCCTGTCTTGGCAGCACCACGAGCCATGAGATCCATGCAAGCTCTGTGGCAAAAGTCTGCTCTGCACACTGCTGCAGCTACTGCTGATGATACATACTGACAGTGGCCATCATGCCAAGCCGCTGCATGCCACTGATGCCAGCTGCTTGGAATGCAGTGCTTCGCACCGCCTTAATCGAGCGGAGTCAACAAGCCCAATGCGATAAAATGCATGCCAGACTGCATGGTCCATGGAATTGGTATCCATCATGTACTCGTTCTCTTTCTCTTGCAGCTAGCGTCCGGCCTGATCTTTCGAGAAAGTCTGATACAGTAGCGGGCCGTTCTCAAGACGCCATTGCACACGCCGAACAGCTCGTGAACGCATCACGTCCACCTGAAGATGCTCAGAATTGGGTGCCTCCCTTGGAAGGCTCAAAGCGTGGCCTGCCTTTTTGTGCAACTGGTCCAGGAATGCCTCAGCTCTGCCAATAAGCATCCCTGCGCTCTGCTTCTACCGCCTACAACACAGATCTTGGCAGCCTTTTCCCAGCCTATGGCAATCAGCCTCAGGATGCTTCAGGTAGCTGAGGAGAGACAAGGGGCCTTTCCCTGCGACTGCATCAATTCCAGCAGGCGGTGATTCACATAGCGCTGTACCTGGGCATCCAAGCCAAGTTAGTTAGCATGCTGCCGGCGGCTGCATTGCCACTTGAACCGTGCGTACACCTATCTGTGGTTTCAAAGCCACGGACATTGAAGCCTGAATGTCCCTTCTTACCCAAGCCTGCATGGGTGGCTGTGAGCGGGATGAGCCAGCAAGGTATGCGCACGAAGCTACTGCAAACGCAGTTCCACACTTCCGAGGCTAGTGGACTTACTGGCCATTCGGCATGTTCGAACGCATAGCAGATGCGCACCTGTCCTACTTGTAAACTTGCACTGCCCGCATCTACAGGCGTGCTACTCAATCCAATGCCTGGTATACACCGTGTACTGAATGACTTGCACCTTTGATAGTGTAGATTGCGCGAATGGCCAGCTAACTCCTGTTTTCCAAGGCACTGCAAGCACTCCATCCACAGGTCCATGCGGCTCCTTGGGCAGACGTATGAGTGGAACCCCTTGGGCTTGAAATGCGTTGCAACTCTCAGTACGACATGTCATCATTCCATTCAGGATGAGATGTGTGCTTGCTCCATGAAGGCGGACAATGCGAGCGTCCGGCTCCACCCGACCCGTAGGAAAAGCAACAGCTGCTGCAAAGAAAGGCCATGCATGAAGAAGGCCATCATCAGCTTTCAAGGCTTCTCTAGTGGCTTTAGGTTCTAAATTGAGCAGGGTTGCGTTCTGCTCGTCCGCCTGCATGTTCATAGGGTTAGAAGCACCACCTTGGAAAAGTGCGGCAAGCTTTCAAGGCTGTTGTGCGAAGACAGACTCAGCTGCGCGGCCGGAACCTGTTGCTGTACTCTCCTTAGATTTCAACTTTTCGCTGCTGAATGTAAACAGACACGCACACGGAAGACAACCTGAGTGCTTGAGTCTAGATTCAAACGGCCTCTGTGCTACAGAAATCCTTTTTGTTTTTAGCTACAGGACAAATTCATCCTTGAAAGCTTTTGCCCGAGCTTCCACCAAGGACTCGTGGATCTCGATTCCCAATTTGAGCGAGCCATCAATGGACTTCTGTTCAACAATGGAACCCATGCGCCTCAGCTATTCATCAAACAAGAACGAAGAAAAGCAAGTGCCAATGACAGCGTCCAAGCAGAAAGCAAACGCATTGAAAGTCTGGCGCTGTGACCGCAATAGGCGCCGAGACACTTCAGGCCGCAAGGAGACTTGCCATCGAAACTATGCCGCAGGACCACGGACTCCGTGCCTTACCCGCAGCATTGCAAAGGGCATTTCTCCTGATCAACACACCAGCCCTTCGTCTCAGGACACGGGCGACAAGCGTTCACCACACAACAATTACTGCAGCTGTGCAGTGCAATACGGGAACCAAATTCCAAAATAATCCTCCATCAAGCTCTGCACAGTCCATTCCAACCCAGTCCATCTTAGGACGACAGTTGCGAGGATGGCAATTCCCAGTCAGCGGGCCCCTGTGACTGTTGTCACTTCTGACATGCGGCAAGAAGACGAGGGAGAATAGCAGACCCCCAAGGGCCCCACCCCCGCGACTGCTGATACTTTTGATACGCGACGAAGATGCGAGACTCCGAAAGCGACGACACTTACCAGGACGGCAACCCCAACAGCCACCTTCCCGTGACTTTTGACACTTTAGACACTCTTGACACGCAACAAAGACACAAGACTGCGAAAGCGTCGCCAGTTACGAGGATGACGACTGCCCAAAGGCCCCGTCCCTGTGACTGGTGGCACTTTTGACAATACTTTTGACATGCGAATGTCCAAAAGTGACGACAGTTACATGGATCGCAACCCTCGGGGCCTCGAGCTCGTCAACGCTTGCAAGCATTTTGCGAACGCTACAACGTTTGGTCTCCTGGACCCTGGAGCCCAAACTTTCAAACGAGAATCCTTGTGTAGAGCATTTGGGAACATAAGAAATTAAAATCTGCCCCTGGCAGCTTCTTCTGCAGTGCCAATGCATCTCTTGCTTTTGTCGCCTATGATATTTCATTTCAATGTCAGGCCATTTCTGTGGCAACCGGCGCACACAGCATCTGGGGGGCCAGCCCAGGAAGAGGCGGAAGACTAGCTGCAAACCAGCAGAGGCCCAAAGGTACAGGGAGCATTGGTTCCCGGACGAATCTTCCTGCAGAGTGGGTGAAGGCTTGAAGTTCTTAAGACAACCCAGAGTCTGCACGGTGATGAATGCTGAAGAGTAAGAACTCGTGCTGAATGTCTGCTTTCCAAATTTCAGATATCCGGCCTCGTCCCCAGGTCCTGAGCGGCGGGTGTGAACTCGCAGCTCCAGCTGCATGCCACGAGTCCCGGCTGCCTACAGGCAGGATGGCGTCAGCCCTACAAGCTGAAGCTGCTGTGGTAAATATACAAATCTTATGTGGGCTGCTACTGTTGAGTTGACCAGGAATCCGCCTTCACATGGTTTCACAACGCAAGGGGAAGGCTACACGTATTCAAAGGCAACAAGCAAAGGCCAGGCCTCGAAGGGTGGCGAGAAAAAGCTGGCCTGCAAAGGGCTCAAGTGCAATGTCTTGAGATGGCTTGGGCTGCTGGCCAGCACCTTCGGCAATTCATGAAATTAACTTTCTGGTCTAGTCTGGTCAATCTACTCTAGTCGCTGAAGAGGAGCAATGCTGCAATATTGCTATAGGCCTGTGCATCCCCGACCAGGGAGGGGTCGTCCACTGGCTCCCGGTCCTGCTCTTTGTGTCTAACTTCATGGACCAGTCCAAACGTACTCTGTGAGCATGTCACGAGTCACGAGTGGATGCAACATGGCCTGTACCTTCTCTAGCTGCTTCAGCGTGTCTTCTGGCAACCGCCACTCCACCTACGCGAGAGTAAGACATGGCTTCTTCTGCCGAGTCTGCTGCGAACCCACCTACAGCTGATGGATGCTGTTCATAGCATGCGACGACACTGTCTACGGCTGCAAGGCAAGCTCAGAAAGCAGTGTGGCAAACGACACGTCACGAATGCAAACTTCACTCCAGTGCACCTGTCTTGTCGGCAGCCCTGAGACACCAGAGCAGAAAGCGTTGAGCCGCGCAGATTCACCTTCCAGCAAAAACTTATTGGAGGAATTTTGGGTCCACTGGGTGGTATGCGAAGTGCCTTGCAGCAGCTCAATATTTGCCCGATTCTCCGCTAAAACCGCCGCGCTCCGGTCTTCGGCCTTGCACAATGGCTGGAGAGCGGTACAGACCTACTTTCTCGTTGACGCGTCCCTCTGCCAGAGCGCAAAACCCTCCCATCGTGCGTTCACGAGTGCAAGCCCTCAGGAGATCATCAAGTCATGGAGCAGCCGGCCTCACGGCGGACGTGCTGCAATTGTACCTGACCCTCTTGGACGCCGTGCCTGAGCTCCTCAACCAATGCGGCTCTGTCTCAGTACTCAGAAGCAGCACGATGTGCAAAGCAACCTTGCTTTCGATTTGAGAGGTTTGAGACGGTGCAATGAACAGAGCTGGCTCGGCTTCACTTGAGGAAGGAATCGCTGAGAATGACTTGCAGCTTGAGCTTTCAAGCAAGCATCATGCCAAACACCTCTCTGCAAACAGAAAGCTACAAAATGTGCAGAGCACCCGTCCTGGCAGTCGCCCTGTGCAAGGCACGTGTTTTTGAGTACATAGGCAAAAAATACAATCGGAGGAGCGCTACTGTCTTGCGTGAGCATCGTTGTCAACAGTGCATTGTGACACTACTGTAGAGGAAACGCTGCAAGGCGCAATGGGGCAAATGATCATGCCGGCAATGCAAGTTCTGGCCATCGGTTTCGGGCTGCAGGGCAAGAAATTCAGGTTGGTAATTTGCGGGGCGGAAAGCAAGATATTCTATGTCTGATGCCGGGCAAGGATCTCCGAACACTAACCCTTCAAACCCTGAAATCTAAGCGCAGAGTCCACGCAGCAAAGCGCCGAAGTGCAGGCGGCGAATGGCTGACAGGGCCTTTGAGCCCTGGTTGAAACTGGCAAAAGCGAGGTGTACGGCTTGAATCTGTCTAGTGAACTTCGAGACTCGAGACCACGGTCTGCTGCCTTGAGGTCCTCATCCAGCTTCTTCAGCTGCGCTTGTATAGCTGCCTTTCAAAGACGCACACAGAGCTACAGCAGACATGGGCTCATTCCATGATCTGCTGCGATGCATGTACATCCCAGAGCCGACTATACTCATACCAGTACATTGAGTCTCTGATGCTGCTTGAGATTCATCCACCTCGTTTTGCATAAGAACCACCGGCTGGCTTTGACACTAACACTAGAGCCGAGACCCACAATCGGCAGTGACTTTTTTCCTTGGGCTGGCTGAATCTGTGGGGCTAAGGGTTTTTCCTTCAAACCAAGCCCATGGGCCCCTCATCGTTCTTTTCTTTAGCAAATACGCAGCAGCGGCTGCCTCCTCCTGCTGACGGATACTCCTCTCGAGCGCCACCTCGTGGCAAGCCCGGAATGCAGAACTCCGTGCAGTGAGAAGCTCTTGGGATTGCAGGATATTCTTGCACAAGCTCCATGTCCCAATCTGCATGTCCCAATACTCCTTACCCACTCTTCCCATTCCCACTTCATGCCTGCTCCTCGGTCAGCTGCTTTGAGGCCTCTTCAACCTTGCGGCGTCGAGCCAGCACAGATTTGGACTGCCAGCTTCAGGCCAATCAGCATGATTGCGTTTAAGCATTCAAGGAAACTTGACTAAAGCCCTTAGAGCATCATTGCAGCCCGCCTGGGCAATCTTCCTCGTCAGAGACTGCTCCATGGCCTTGTAGCTTGGTGTTACCAGGTAAGCTCCATGACTCCGTGGTTTACGCAATGCACCTTTGCAAACCATCATCATGATTGAGCAGTATACAGTGCATTGTGGCAACTCCTCGGGGGCTGTCGGCAGGATACAAGCATCGGGTCATGGGGTCAAAGCTTCTGGAATGCTGGCCGGCTGGCCCTGGTGGCCAAGTACAGCATTGGATGAACATGCAGCCGTGGCTGGCTGCCTCTTGCTTCTGCTTGGTCTCTTGGAGGATGGCATCGCACTGCGCCTCCCGTTGGCAACTATGAGACCCCAACCCCACAAATCCGAAATGCTGCCTCCAGGGCCCGGCGTGTCTCCTTCGCGACAATGATTACACCGCTTGGCTATGCTCGGCTTGACTGGCAGATCCAAAGCACTCTGACCCACTGCGAAGCGCCCTTTCAGAGAAGGCTCCTTCATGTTTTGTTCCAAAGCCTCGAAGCTTTGCCTTGGCCGTCTTCGGATTCATCAGATGCTTATTTGGAAGAGTCCCCGCCCAAAGACTTTAGCTACCCCATAGGCAAAGCATTGCTTGAAGGCACAAATTCACAGTCAAATTCGAATTCGCAGCTTGCATCTGCAATAGGTTACAGCTTCCTTTTGCCCCTAGCTCGGTCAGCATAATCATAGTTCTTTGTAATGCATCCCAGTCTCTCAAGGCGTGCCGGAATGGGTGCGAAATACACAGCATGCAGCACACGTGGCTGAACCACTGTACGCTTGATGCGCTCCCTACAGGTGAAATAGTATCCAATCGGAGTATGCATTTGAAAACCTCACACAATCCGACGACTTGTGGCATCCAGCGGGTGGCGATGCATAGCCGCATCCCACGTTGACAATCACCACCCAATACGGCATCATCACACAGAGAAGCCTGAAGAAGTCCAAGCCCCAAAGTACCGTTCCTCATGCATCCGAGACACTTCATGGACTCAGAGAGGCTCGCCCTTGGTGGCACTGAGGGAGCCGGTGCTTCTCTCAAGGTGTCTGCGGCACCAAGCAATTTATGCAGAGACACTATGGAGGTCATGGCTAAAGATCAAACGGCCATGGGTTTCTTCTGTCCGTAGCCCGCCAGCATTCAATCAACCATGAGGACCAAAGCTTTGGACTTTTTGTTTGCAGCGGAGAAGCTGCAGATCTTGCAGGCCTGGTGGCGTTGCAGACAAGTTATGAGCTCTTCGGGGAACCCAGTATCCAATACTGATGTGAAGGAAATTGTCGGGAATGAATTACTGTAAGCCGCCCGAAGTTCAGCTTGACATCCACCGCAGTTTCTTCCCCGATCACCTGCCCTTTACATAAGCACGCCTTTGCTCATCTCTCCGCGTACAGCAGATGTGGCCCCATCCAGGTCTTTTCTCGCCTTCCTTAGAAAGACAGATGCGTCACATCTTCGCCACGTCACAGCAATGAATGAGCATGACTAACTGCCAAGACTCGTCGACACCTCCTCTGCCTCAGTCCGCGCCAAGGCAAAGCATGGCCCCAACAAGCCAATTTGTTTTGGTTTTATACATATGACAAGCAACCACGGAGATTCCGTCCTCACCAGCGTACCCTACCAGAAGTGGAGTTGTAGTGACACTGGTTGTCAACAGCTGAATGTCAAAATCGTCCAGACAATGGAAATGGATGGCTGCCGTGAATGCCTGAACATTTAATTACAAAAAACGCCAAGGTGCTGGGAAAGTGGTGATTGAATATTGAAACCCTTGTCAGCATTGCCCTTCACTTTGGGTTAGCCGTCCTCCGCCCAAAAGCATGACCCTCTGCCAAAAAAATGCTCCATTGTTCAGTGGCAGCACAGAACTTCTGCTTACGACGTTGTCCTCAGCATTCTTCCAAGGTGGCAGTCACAACCCTTGATCATCCACAGCGAGCAGAGCTCTCCTTTGCCAACGTTGCCCCTGTCAATAATTCATCTTAACTTGCCTGTCCAAAGTCTTTAAAAACATGTCATCATTAAACATGTCGGGCAATGGTGGTCGAACCGAAATCTCTCAACCTGACCGAGCCGGTTTCATAACAATTCCTTGCCTTTTTTTGGGAAGGGACTCTTAGAGGACGCCCTGACTCCTGCCTGCCAGGAGCCCCTTCTCATGTGCACATGTCATGTGCACATCTTTTTAGACTGGATTGGGCAAGCGACTTACTTAAACCTGGCCCAAACCGATTGTGCCCCAAACCGATTGGGCCGTAGCCGCAGGGCTGAAATCCGCCAGTATCTTAAACAAATCGTTTATCGTGCCTGCAAACTAACATCACACCGACGTCATGTCACGTCTTTGCGCGCTGCTTCCAGGGCATGCTTCTCCAAGTCCTGAACGCAAGCAGCCAAGCTGGAAGCATCTCTTCCTTCCACAACCGCGTGACGGTCTCTTGCGGCTCACTACACCAAACATGCGCATTTGCACCAGCACAAGACCACCCCGATCCCTCACGGCAAAGGCTCCTGTCGGGCTTTCTTCAACTCCTTTCGAGCATGTGAGGGAATGTACTGGATACCGTCCCTCACACAAGAAGTGCAACGAGATCCGCAGCCCCCAGGCCAGGCCACAAGCTTCTGTCACATGCTAAAAACATAGCAAGCTCATGCCAAATCTGCTCAACCTGCAGAAGCACTACAATACTGCTCTGTGAAAATCTTACAGTTGTCAATGTTTTGGAGGTTACCCTTGAGCCCAGAATCCTCCATCTGCTCCTGCTGCGCTTTGCTTTGCATCTGATGTAGAACCTAGCTTTGACACCGCCGATTTTGGTGCTCAGCGTCTGGATACATGAATTGTCAGGTATCATCATCATTTATGTGCCCCACCTCGTAGTTTTGCTTCGCAAGGTCCTGAACACCTCAGGCAGAAGCTTTTTTTGCAAGCATACTTGAAGCTTGGTCCAAGAAAGAGGCCCGTGGCACAGACAAGAGAAAATGCTCGGGCGTTTCTGATCTGTACAAGATTCCACCAGGCTCAGGATGGCTCAGGATGGCTCAGGGCTCCGCTGGCCACTCGCTCTTCAAGATGCTCGGCCTTCGTCTTCAGATCCTGGCCTTTGGCCACCTCTGCACTCCATGTGACACACTCGTCAGAGTCTTGAACAAATCAGCAGAGCTTCACTCTCAGTGAAGCTTCAATCCAAACTACTCTTTTCTCGCGTGGTGCGCCCTGCCTCGCTGTTCAACTCCTGGCGCAGCTCCTTCAAAACTGCATCCAGTCTGGACTACGCAATCTGTGAGGGGGCCAGCTTGCTCAGTCATGAACAGCGAGTTCAGCACTAGGAAGCGCACGGCTGTCTCCGATTCGAGCTTCCTCACGGTCTCTTCCTGCTCCTCATTTCTCATTGCATAGCACTGCCATGTTTCTTACAAGGTCTTGATGCTCGCAGAAGTTTGCTTGGCTGACTTGGTCGAATCTTGACTTGTACGCTTGGGCATGGGAACTCAGCAATTTGAACAAAGGTCCATGCAATAATCTAGGGATGCAACGGACCTGCCTGCATTTTCTGCTGGTGCTGATTGAGCGTGTAGCCTTGGTCCTACAGAGGAATGCTTGCCACAGGCGTCACTGAGCCTTGAGCTGCCAAGGCCATAACCCATAACATGAGCAATTGTCACGACGCATCTACTTGTAGTTTCCCTGTCTGCTAGCAACCGGGCCTTCTCCAGCATGGATGTCAGCTGCTCAAGCTTCGTAATTTGGCCCTGACGGGTCCAGTGCAGATGCCCTGCGAAAGTTGCATATAGTTGCATGTCCGAACACGCAAGCCTTCACGAAATCATCTCGCTTCCTCGCGTTGCTGGCCATTTGTTGCATCTCAGCCTCGCAGCCGGGTAGTCTCTCAGCACTGATTGAACTCAGCGCAGAACATGAATGGCAAGTTCCCGAAGTTTGACTCAAAAAATGTAAATTTCGCTGCCTTTGTCAGTGGTTGCTTTGCTTTGTTGCGTGAGCGTAATGTTTTTTGCCTTCCACTTGGCTGCAACGCTTGCAGGCAAAACAAAGTCCAATGGCAAACAGATTTCTTGTGTTATTTGCATGTCTGGTTTCCCTGTCCATCTCCAAGTCCCTGCAGCTTTCGCTTTGTCAGACCACCTTCTCGTGCAAGTCAATTTGTGGTGGCGGGGGGGAGATGGCCTCATCAGCACCCCAGGAACCTAGGTCTGAACCCGGGTGCCTCTGGGGTCCAGATTGGAGACTGAAGATCCCCATCGAATTGGCCAAACATCTTCACTCTTCAATCTGACACAGGCCTGGATCAAATCTTCCGAGATTGGATCCCATATGGGATCCCTTGCCGGATAGAAGCTTTCAGATTCATACCACAACTTTTGCCGGAAATTTTCAATGCTCGATCAGCCCCCCGATTGGATCCCACCCGGGCTTCCTTCCACGCGGCATCTATAAAACAATAGGACAAAATAACAGGACCTAATGCTACTTAACCATCTCCGGGAGAGTGGTGTCTCCTGTACTATCTCTAGGACGGTGGAATCTTCTGCAGGTGCATCTGTCACATATCATCCTCTTTTTACTGGCATAATGTCTTATTGTCCGTGGCCATGGAGCCTCAATGTGAGTAGGTAGCCTCAACTGCGCTCTCTAGGGATGATTTTGCACACTTCCGACTCTTTCGATGATTACAACTGTCAACCGGAAAAAATGCATAGTCTTGAATCCCAACTTGCTTGATCAGCAGAGTGAGCTGAGCTAATTGACTAGATTCTTGCTTTGACCTCCTACAAGTAGCCTAACAGTAATCAAAGATAAATGTCACCATTAAGCGGTTTTTTCAATCATGGAAATCCTGGGAAAACTTCTTGGATTCCGAAGAGAGCCTTGGTGATCTCCTCGCCCACTTTCAAGCCGCACGGGCATGTCATGAAGGAATATGATTCTTTGAGACAGTAAGTGCGCGAAAAGCACTCGCATGATTGAGGCTTTACGTGGAATGAGGCAAGGTTGCAGGAGTACCGAAAAAAAAATCAGTATTCATGTATTTATGGCACGGGCAGGGAGGTGTAATCTGTGAATCATTCATGGAATGTGCAGGGCTTGTATTCGTGCGCTGGAAAAGGCAGACATAGAAGTATTGCAGCGACAGCTCATGTTGGGAGAACTGTTGCACACATGTTTGGATGTGGATGGACCATACTCTATACAAGATTTGTATCGGGATGGCCACTATCTGATGGCTGTACTGGTGCTGAGGGGATGATATCGAGCCATTGCCTTCAGATTCTGGAACGATGCTTTTCATGGGGTCGTACAGGGCCGTTATGCCAACTAGCATCTTCACGTGAAGTGTTTGGGGGGGCCAGATCATGACTGTACAGGAATAGAAAATCATATACAATGCACAGGGTTTCTTGGCGTGATGCCGGGAGCGTGCACATATGTGTTGCAGCCCATGGGATCTGCACATTGCTCAGTCTGTATGTCGGTATGTCGCGAGACTGGTATGTCGCTAGACTGACTAGTTTATAGAGGAAGCTTACATGGGTTACCCAAAGGTTCGGTTGCTTTTACCCTGAGGAGCTTGTATAGGGGCTGTATATGGGATATTATGGGATCCTATAGGTATGAAGGAAAATGTTGTTCAGGATGATGTACTGCATGGACCATGCACGGGGTAGATCTTCATGACAGAAGAACCCAACAACGTCTTCAAAGCCCACTCACGTCGTACAAACCAGAGTGATAGGCAGGCAGGAGTTCAAGACGATGTGAGAACCGTGAACAAAAGGAGATCTTGGGGGTAAGCAAACTTATGCATACATCAGATACTAGGGGACCACCCAGGCCTTCAAATCACTGAGGGCATCCGCTGTGGCATACTCGACACCCTGAAAAATAGCAACAGCGGCAGAGTGTTCAACACTGCACGAAATGCAGCTTTCTTCGGCAGCTCCCAAAAACTCAAGACTTAAGACGTTCAATCTAGGATGTCTAGCGTCAGTTTTCTGGCCTTCGGCATGGAAGGGAGCCGTCAGTGAAAGCTTGACCACCGTCGTCTTGACAAGATGGCTTGCCTGAGACATCAGTGCTGGGATGCTCTCGCCCAGCAACTGGACATGAATGGAACAAAGTCTCAGCCTTTTACAGCATCACAGTGACTTGACCACATTGCCGGACACCCGAAATAGAAGTCATACCAATGCCAAGGCATGGCAATTTCCTTTGGCTGAGCCCTTCGCTTCGCAGCAGCCCGCGGAGGTCTACAGCATGAGTCGAGGGCGGAATTAGAGCCAATCAACAGCAGCTGCGGAGTCTTGCATGTTTTTTTTGCCAAATCTGATGTGTCTCTGTTTCATGATCGCCGAGGTGTGCTCCTACTACAGCTACTCAAGCATGACCCCTGTTTTGCCGAAGCAGTCAATTTCTTAACCGCTGATCCACCCAGGCTTGATTTGACAGCACGGAGGCCGTGCTCGGAGACGGAATACAAATCTGGCGGCCGGCGTTGTCTCTGCGGAGGTTGGGCTTGAGTCTGCCAGCAGGCTGTCACTGAGTGTGGTCCATCTGCATGATCCTCAAGCACAGAAGGCAAACCGCGGGAAAGGTATCACCCCCATGTGACGGGTGAGGGATCCAAAAAAAAATTGCAAAAAAATGAGATATGCCCAGCGCATTCCAAAAAAAGCTGGTAAGCATCAAAATATATTTAGTAGGGCAAAAACAAAAAGCAAGAATAAAAAAAGTGTTTCGTTGACGTCTAACTAGTAGTAGTAGCGGCGGTAGTAGTAGTAGTAGTAGTAGTAGCAGCAGTAGTAGTCGTCGGCGTAGTAGCAGCAGCAGCAGTAGTAGGAAGTTATAATAATAGTAGCAACAGCAATGGTAGGACTACTAATAATAATAGTGCAAAAAAATGAAAAAATAAAATGAAAACAAAAATCGGAAAAATTAGGAAATTATGACAAATGATGGCAATAGGCAATTATGATGAAAAGTGATGGAACAACATGAAAAATCATAAAAACTGATGATTCCGTCATAAAAATGATACAAATCAAACAGGATGAAAAGTATGATACATGAAGAAACATGGAAAAACATGAAATCAAAAAAAAAGAAAAAAAACACAAATCATAAATGCTGAGAAATGGTGAAACCTGATGAAACATGATAAGCAAAGATGGAAATTTAAGAAAAACATGAAATATCATGAACAAACAAGGCAGAGTTAAGAAATATTGTGGAAATAGATGACCATTGCGAAAAATGTCAATGTGAAAAACAATGAACATGATGAATAAAGAGGAAACTGATGAAAAATGATGGTGAAGAGGGGACTATGATGACACATGCTTGCGTGAATGTGCTTTGAAAAATAACAGCGGGGGGGTTGGGGGGAGCAACCCCCCCCCCGTTGCAATACCTGGACGAAGATTTCCACATGTGCTGTCTTCCGCCGCTTTGATTTGGAAATGTGATGTGACTCATGATGAGAAGGACATAAGCATGATCAAAAAATAATAATTAATGATTGGACAATATGATTTTTTTCGGAAGATGGTGGAAAGTTATGAACGATCACTAAATATGATGAAAGTGATGACAAATCCTGTACACATGTGAGTATCCGCACGATGAAACAAAAAAATGACAAAATCATGAAAATTATGAACAGACATGCAAAATCATGAAACATCACGGGACAACAATGAAAAGTCATGAAAATGATGAAGCAACCCTGACAAAGGATGAGAAATCAGGAAAATATCAACAAAATCATGACATTTCGTGAAAATGATGATGAATGCGATGACAAATATGAAAATTACTCAAGCTTGTGAAAACTGATGAAAGATGATGAGCATTCCTTCATTGCCTCTGTCCTGCCTGCTCTCCTCCCGCCAGGGTGTAGGGTCGAAGCCTACGCATCAAAAAAACATTCCGGATTGGTGTGCTTCCCAAGAAAAGGGCACAAGTTTTCTTTGATGCTTAAAATAATTTCTTTTGATGCTTAAAAAAAACTGTTGTTGATGCTTATATGTTTGTTAATCCCTGTCCCCTATGTGACTGAGAGTCTGCCGGAAGTCAGCGTAGGCAAGCCAACCATCCTCAATGCAGAGAGGAGAGCCTTACCAAAGCACCTGCTTTGTTCTAATGATTCTAATGGCAAGTCTCCTGGTCTTGATCAGCCTCTTGGAAGAGTGCATCTGCCTCTTCCTCCTGCAGCGCATTGCCCGGCCCCAGGCCGAAATTTTTTGACCCCCACACATTATAAGAATGGTGCAGCCTCCGAAATCTTGACAACAAGCGGTCCTCAATGTCCCCACTGAAGCGCTTCAGCGCCCGAACGAATGCAGCCTTGCCTAGATGGCACACTCTTGTCTAAAGCATGCCGGGGTTGGCAGTCAGACAATTTGGCTCATGCATGCATTTGCAACGCAAGTGAGCGAAGGACAAAAGAGTACCTGCTCTGCAAGAACCTTGAATTGAAGGTGCCTCCTGTATGGCTTGGTAGCAGACAGGGTGCCGATCACAGCCTCTTGCCCAACCTTGGACTCCTTGCTCACTTCCTGCAAACCATGCAGGAACACATGAGAGACAAGACCCGACGCCATTGGTACACATCTTTCATATGCATGCCCTTCAGCAAACAACAAGAACATGTTTCAAAACACGCAGATTCCTCCCAGATCCGCTGCAGTTCCATCTCGTTGAACCGCACTCTGCCTAAGATCAGGTTCTGTCGAAATGGGTGCTCTCTGGCCTTCTACCTACTACATCTCCGTGCTACCGCCGTTCACGAATGCACTGCCTAGATACATCCTTTACACCTGCTGGTACGGACGATGGCCTTTCAAAGATGTTCGCATGAAAGTGAAGGACCCTCAGCTTCCAGCAACTCCTGCTGCAGACCCAGACGCGATCCACATATCCAAAATAATTTGCTTTTTCGTTTTTTGGAACTTTGCTCCAATCCTTGGCTTGCGCAGCGGCTGTCCAACTTACCCTGTAGTTTATACGGTCTACACCCGCAGGGAGTCCTACAACTATCTTCTGCTTCCGTCCTAAAGAGGACATGCCAGGTCTCAAACGGGGGCATCGGCACCGGTGTTGGCCGGGGTGGCGCCTGACATCAAGCACTCACTCGTCAGCAGCCAGCTGACTCAAATCCAACAATTTCAGCTCACTCCACCCCTTCTCTTTGCCTCCCGTCGCCAGGCACGGAGACGCCGCTGCAACGCAGGGTCCTCCTGCTCGGCGCAGGCCTCCTCGAGGTAACGCCTGCTCGGACCCAACTGCGCCCAGCTGTTTCGTAGCACCTTTGTTTATGCCAAGCAACACGGCCATCTCCATCCAATGGCTGCGGATGTTGCTTTCGAGCAAATCCTCCTCCCAGGCTCAAGAAATTGCCAGAGGCTGGCTTCACTAGGTCACCCTGCCTTGGCTTCTCGCAGATAGAGTGCTCTGCACGCCTGACCAAAACGTTGCTTTTTGCCCCAGGTCAGCGATGGTCTGTTGAGAGGCTGCAACCCACTAGCTGTGATTCTGAAGAACCATGTGTGAAATTCAGGCGCCAGCCTCTGCAGCCAGGCACAGCGCTCGAGGCCGCTCGAAGCCCATACGCAGTGCTGCCACGCAGTCATCCAAGGCATCCTTCGAGCTTAAGTGGCTGTTGGCGCATGACTAACTGTACCTAGTTACCACCCCTGCAAACCTGTGTAAGAACAAGCTTGACAAGCAAATTGCGGGAGTAAATGAAGCTGTAGGTGGGTTGCATGCAGAAAATGCTCTGCTTACCAGATATGATTGCGTAGGAAAATTTGTGGGCGAGGGAGACCCGGCAGGTCCACAGCAACAGAAAGCACGGGGACTCGCAAAAAAAGCATGACAGCACCAGTTGGACTGCAATTGCACTCTGGCTACGTCTACTTTGCACACTGCCATTTCAGACTTTCTTGGGGTAGCTTTTTGCAGAACAGCCGACAGCCTCCGCTCAACGAAGAAGAGGAATACTTGACAATCTGCATGACGACTGCGTTACATTCAGATCTGCTGGAAAGCATCTCGAGGCTTCAGGCAGCTTACATGGTAGAATCAGAAGTTGCAAGGGTGCATGAGTTCATGAGTGCTAGGCTAAGCCTGGGCTGCTCTGTAAGCCGTACTCCCAGACATCAGCACTTCGTTCTTAAACATCTCAAGAAAGCAAGCCAAGACACCAATGTGTAAATTATCTAAATCCACGCTGCGCGGTGGCACGCGCAAACGAAACAAACAAAAGGCTGCAACTGCACTGTCATCCACCTGGCCTTGTGCTGCCACTTCTGGTGGAGCACCTGTCTTGGAAGACTCGAGCCATCACAATTTAGAATCTCAGCTCTAGAATCTTGTTGAAACAGCCCTATTACCCGGAATCTATGCTCCATGTAAGGACCCAGCTGCTCCAATGCTTAGCCTGCAGCCCCTGCTTTGCCTCTGCACGTTTCAGCAGGACCATACAGCGGAGCGGGGCTGTGCCAGCGTCCTGGCACCACTTCATTCTGATGTTGTTAACAAACTGCCTCTTGGAAGCATGCAATAATGACTGGCGAATGCAACAAACCTTTTGAAGCATTTTGATGTTGCCGAGGCCAAACCCATGTGCAGCACTGCTCCTCAGATGTCAGCACGCCCAGCGCGTCCGAGTACCGCTTGTCTGCGTTGAAGATATCACCTGAACACCACCAAAGCAAAGCAACATCCAGCATTGACAGCCATGGCACTAAAAACCGAACTTGCTGAGGAGTCAAGACGAGGAAGATATCAAAATTGGGCGTCTTAGCTCCATTGCGCCGAGCCACCTGCTGCTCGGCTGGCATCACCCTGCTGCAAAAAAGCACCAGCCATGGTGACGGCTGCAAAACCTCTCAGCAAGCGCGGAACAAAGCATTCGCTGACAGCCATGTGGCCAAGTCACGCCGCGATTTCACCAGCCCCTCGCTTAGGCGAAGGATGCCAGGTGTGGGCTCCTGGCTATGGACCCGCGTTGGCGTGAAATAAGTTTATGAACCAAGCCCAGCGGAGCAAAAACCTTTGCATCGATACGAGCTGTCTAGAAAAAGCCTAGCGCAGCGTGAGACACTGCAGTGGAAGGAGAACTTAACATTGCAGGAAGCACACCTCAAAGGGGCACTTGGGACCTTAGGAGATTCTTGGAACTCACGTAGTAACCACTTCGAAGTGGAGATATCACCCTACTTACAGTTGGGTAATCTACCTCCAGGCCATTACTTAGCTGGGCTAAGATGAGGCCAGATCATCAAGTATTCAAGTAGTTGCTTAGTCCAATGAACCTTTAAGTCACAGGGACCATGCAAAACACACCTGGCGCTGTGCGATGAGCATAGCCGACGCCCAGCAGGCATCCGCCTCTTCGTCAAATCACATCTGCAATCTGCCAAGCCAAGGGTAGCAACCACAACACTGCTCATTGTCTCGTTGCTGGGATCATCACTATTTCTCAGCTTGGTACTTTCAGTCATGCATCTAATTGCCAACCTGTCCCCAAGTGAGGCCTCAACTCAACTCTCCTGGCAAGCCAGCGATTTGAGGATGGTCATGGATGTTCCATGTTCCGGGGCAGAGGTCCCTCTTTGTTTTGGCTTGCCGCCTCTTGCCAATCGCCGCGTTCCGCCGCTGCATCGCCAGAAGAGCGCAGGCCAGAAATCCTGAGCATCTCCATAGCTTCAATGAAAGCTTTGCAGCCATGTCCTTTCTTGACCCGACATGTTTTGCTACAACAGTGCTTCACTGAAGAAAAAGGGAACAGTGCAGGCGGGACCTATTCGCAAATCACTGGCTAGCTTGACATCCGGCATTGGCAAGCTGGTTCTAAACGCTGTTAGACAATTCCTTGCGGCTGATATTCCTGAGTGGCAGCGCCAAGTTTACGCTGCATAAATAGGAATGTACAGAAAGCCTACATATCCTACGATTTGAGCCTGAGCCAGAGCACTTCGCCTCTGCAGCGGCCTCCTGGAGCGCCTGCAGCTCCACGCGTAGGGAGCTGCTGGGGTCCTGGAAGGCGCAGCCAACAACACGGGCCACACACTGCTTGAATGTCACGAGTGCTGCATGCAGGGTGATTCAAATCTGTGCCTTGCTTTGACTCAAGATCCGATCGGCGAAGGCCAGGAGTTTCTCCACCTCGTCGCCTGCTTCCTGTGACCGAAAGGCACACCGCTTTCAACTACAAGAACTCCACCAGTCAACTGGAATGCCAATGGAGACACAGAGTAGGATGCCACGGAGTGCGGGGGCCATAAACGTCAGAGAACTTTGTGATAGCGCACGAGCCTCCGCAAGGGGCTCCTCACCGAGCGCAGACTCCACCTGTCGGGGCACAAGTCGATGAGCCCCCCCAAACAAAAGAAAACAAACTTCTCCTGGCCTGGTCCATGGCCTGCACTGCTAAGGCATGCAAAGCGTCTGGCAGCTCTCGCAGCTCACTGGACGCGTCGGCATCCGCCCCTGTTCACATGTCAGGCTCGAGAGGAGACGAATGTTCGGCTTTGCCGCCTGCATCTTGCAAGAGCTCAAGAAGTCGCAGTGCGGCAGCGTAGCTTTCTGCAGCGGACTCGTAGTTGGCTATCGTCGTTTGTGCTTGGACCTCACGAGGGAAGTTGATTTGGAGGGTCTCATTGTGTTCATGTCGGCATCACAAAATCTGGGATTAGCCCAACACAAGTAACTCTAAGAGAACTCGTAGATCCACTGCGTGGCACCTTGTCACCATGAAGCTTCAGCTCCTGCAAGCAAATGTCAGTACAACAGCAGCCTTGCACACCACAAGAAAGACTGCAAGAAAGTGCGCGAACCTTTGCTTGATGAAGCAGCTGCTGCACATGCAGCTGCCGAACCTGTGAGAGCTCCGGGGTACGCCCGCATTCCCAAGCAAGACAATTGCCCCGCATTGCCCCACCTCCTCCTCCAGCGCTAGAGGCACCACAGCTCCACTTGCAGCTGCTTCTTTGGCATGCTGCCGAACTGCTTCCTGGAAACATTCCGTCGTGCTGGCACAGATCCCAAAGCTATGTCTGTTTGGGCAGGTTGCCTCAGTTGTTAGACAAGTTATGCAAAACCATGCAAAACCCAAGACTCCAGAAAGCGCTCGCGCCACCTCTGCGCATCCTAAGTTGACACAGAAGAAGCCCTTGCCCTACCATTGATTTGCACAAAAGCATTGTTTGCAACATGTACCTCTATCTTGAGGAACACCTGTACCCCTGTTGGGACACGATGACTGACACATCTGACTTCTGCAGATGCGAGTCGAAGGCTGCCTTGGCTGCCCTGAGAAGGCTCTTTGCGATTTGCCTGGGCACTGCAAACTGAGCTCTTCACTTAAAGTTGCTCCCTGCTGCGTGACCCCCTCATCAGATAGAAGGCACATGCAGGCTGTGCATTTCTTGGGCACGCCAGCCTGTCACCACTCGTCACCCTTCGACAATTCTGGTATAAGCAACCACTGAGGTGCCCTGGATTGCTTTGCAACCCATGGTTGGTAATGCAACAGAGTTCTAACCAAGTGGCAGGGGGCACTGCTTCAAGAGCTCCTCCAGCTCTTGGCGCATACTCTGCGAGTCCTCTTACATTGTCGTATGGCTGCATGCAGGCCATGCAGCCTCCACATTCGCTTTCACAGCCAATGCATCAAGTGGGAGAAGCCGTATATACTGATCAGCATACCATGACACATGTTCAGCATTCTTTTCCAGCGAGCTGTAAGCCAAGCAGGCCCTTCTCCTGAGAGTTGCAGGTCTGAACTTGCTCCCGCGCCATCTGGAACTGGCGCTGAGCCTCCGGCCAATCCTGAACAGCGTATCAGACTGAGACACGTCGACGCAATGTAGGGTCAGATATGCTACGATTCTGGATTTTGGGGCAGTACGGCCACGCAGAAAGAGTTGCACCTACGTTTGTCCTCCAGATCTCCGGCTTCGCAGCCTCATCAGGGTGCAATTTGACATAAAAATGTGAGCGTCTTTGATGAACAGGGGAAGCCATGTTTTCTCTGGCTGGCCCTTTCTCCTCTGAACTCGATCTCTAAGGCCGCACGACATACTGACCCGAACAAAAAGTTTACTGGACAGTTGCCCCATTTGCCTCGGCTGTGCAATGCTGCAGCACGCCGGGCAGGCAGCGGCTCCTCGGCCCTGTGCAGCGCCGTGCGGAGCTCGGACCTCAGGCATTCTCTTTCTCAAGGCAAGGACTGCCTCTGATGCCTCTTTCGTCCCAAAACCTTTTGATCAATGATTGGAACTCTTGCTGCCTTGCGCTGTTGGCACCCCCTCGGACAAGGAGGAAGTGGTGTGCGTTGATCATGTGCAACCTTTATCGTAAATCCGTCTTTCTGCTGACCCTGGCAAGATGGCAAGGCACGCATCAGCCGCATCCTGATCGAGGAGGTGGTCAGATTCGTCCTTCAGGAGAACTTTCAAACTAGCCAGATTTGAGCAAAATCCCTTACTGTTTGTCTGCTTTGAATTTTGCCAACGCCTGTTGCACGTAGCATGCCGGCCACAATCTTGATTGAACTACAGGTGGCCAGGATGCCTACAGCCTACGAACAACTTGGTGCTTTCCAGCTTCAAGGAGCAGAACTGCAGTGCCAGCTCAACAAAAAGTCTGGCCTTGGCGGGCAAACCCACGAATCGGCTCAAATGTAACGGATCAGGCCGTGGTGCGAGCTGGATCAAGGGCGCCCTGGAGCTAACAACGTATCGGATCAGGACAGGGTCGAATCGCATTACACGAATCGGATCAGTGAACCGGATCCGCTCCATGGATCACACGAAGCGGATCAGTGAACAGGAGCAGGTACGACGAGAGGGTCGTCGTTTCTGAACCTTGAGCCTCCGCCCTCGACACGATGCAAGCCGTGAAGCAAAATCCTAAATCCAAGCTCCCAGCGCCGAACCGAGGGGTGTTCCCCGGAACTTGCAGCTTCTGGTACCCAATGGAATACCCAATGTGAGATGTGAGCTATAGTCTAAACTCCTCAAGATGGATATGTAGGGGATTGTATAGAAGAATATTACGGAGGTTATGAACGGGGATGCTAAGGATTTAGACTTTAGCTCACATGGAATTCTAGGAGGTTATTGCTCCCAGCTGAAGCCGCCCTTCAGCGGTTTAGGAATTTTGGGTTTTTGTCGGACCTTTTCTCCGCAAGGAAGGCCCACGAAAATACCTTACGGATCCTTACGGTACAGTCCTCAGTCGCGCAACCAGTGCTTCAGGTTCAGCTGCCGTCCACGTTTGGGCGCAAGCTCTTCTGGCTCGCTCTCAGCTTCAGAATCGCTAGTACCCTCACCATCACTCAAAGCAGGACCCTCGAACCCAGGATCAGGGACCGTAGCAGCAACAAGGCCAATCCCTGAAGCACCCCCGGGCTCAGTATTCTCACTCATTGTTGTCAGGGCGTGCCCGCCATGTCCACGAACACTTGCCACCACCACATCACGTTCAGGCCTTGCCGTTGCCGTCGAAGACTCTGAGCTGGAACGACTGGCTGGAGCCACGTAGCCTGGTCTCTCATCCATACTCTTGACTGCCAGTATCCATTGGTTCTCCTTCTGGTTCTGCTTCTCCCCTCCCTTCACATAGTGGTTCCTCTTGCGGCAAACCGTGTCCTTCTTCTTCCTGTTCGCGATCGAACACCCATTTTCCATGGCAAGGATGACAGAACCGATTGCCGCGGCCTCCTCACAGATGCTGCCAGTTTGAATGCTTCAAGAACCGAGTCACCCCATCTGCACCTGATCATGTCCGGAGTAATCCACCCCGATTCGTATCTGCGATACCACCCTAGGCCTGTCTCAGAGTTCAAGACCTGCATGCCATCCTGTGTGAGCTCCGGGACCAGCTCCATCGGTGGGGCGACTTGAGTGGCAGGCGTCGCGCCTCCAGTGGTTTGATTGGAAACATCACCCTCCACGATCTGCTCAGTCACTGACACTGTGACCATGGGTGTTGTGTCCACCGATGCCATGCCTTCCAACATTGTCGAAGCCATTTCCTCGCCATTGGCACCCCCAACTGCGACATGAACTCTGGCTCTCTTCCTGGTTCTCCCTGTTCGCTGGTTAGACTTGGTCGCCATCTCGGACTCGAGAGCCCACGAATCCCACTCCCTCGCCCTCGATGCCATCAGCTGTTCCCAGGCCTTTGCATCCTCTTCTGCTTGCTGTGTTGTGAGCTCCAACTCCAACTTGTCATGGTGTTCCACCTCGGCTTGCTCCGCTTTGGTCGGCACTTCACATCCGCGATCCGGCCCGCGCATGACAGCACGCACATCTTTCATCTCGCGGTCCAGAGTCTTCCACCAGCACCACTTCATCCGAAGAGCTGGCTGCTTGGTTGGCTCCAAATGCTTCGCTACCATAGACTTCTCTGAGGTGAAGAGAGCAGCCTCCAGGAAAGCCCACAATGCAAAACCATTGATTACTGCACCACAAGTTCAGCTCCCCGGTCGCCCTGTCCTCCCCTTCCACGTAGGTGATCAGAAGCGCTTGCAGCCGCTCCAGCCTGTCCCTGGTCACGGCTGAGAGCTCACTTACCTCAGTCCCAACATAGTCAGTCGTCATGAGCAACAGAGTTTGTGCCGCCATAGAAGCCCTCTCCACCTCCATTCCGTTGAGTTGAGCAGTCCTGCGCAAGTACACTTCCAAAGAGCTCTTTGGGCTGGCGAATTTTTCGTCTGGACCCACGCAACACTGTCTTCCTCCGGAGGTTCAAGCCACACAGCGGTTTGCAGCAGTGTCTGTTCGTCCGCGTGGGCCACTAGGTTCACTGCGCGTAGTACCTCCGCAATGAAAGCCTCCAAGAAGACAAGGAGCTCCGACATGACCCTGTGTCGCTCTACTTCCGCCATGGGCCCCAAGTTCTGCACAACCATCTGCACAACCTCCTCCGATAGGATGCGCGCTCTGGCTCAAAAGGATGGGTCATCCCAGCACGTCCGACCACCAGTTGACGCCTCGGAGCTCGAGAGGTGGATCCCCTACGGCACCGGCAGAGCTTTCCGCATGGTCTGCCGCGGCGCTCTCTCCCGGCGCCGTCGTCATGGACCCAGAGGTAGTCAGCCTCATCGCCATCGATCTGTTGTCTTGTCTTGCCCTCCACGGTCTCTCAGGGAGTCTCACTGTAGAACACGTAGAAACGCCCTGCCCTTTGCCATCTCTACTCCCTGCATCCCTTCGCATCCACTGTTGTCGATTATTGCGCCTTGCCCGCTCTGATCTTGACGGTGTTTTCCTAGATCTTCGCTTCCGTTTTGGCAAGTTTTTCTCTGCATCCAAGGTCCTTCACCTTACACCCCTCAGGGTCGTCATTGAGCTATGTGACGTCGTGGTAGCCGGTGTACATGCTAGCTTGGGCGGTCGCCTGGCTTGGTTGGCGGCCTTCTTTGTCACCATGAGGCCCTGCTTCCTTCTTTGCATCCGCCTGGCCTTGGACACAGTTCATCACCAACTCGGTCTTGCTGGTACTCTCTTACCATCGGGGACAAGTACTTGGAGCCCTAACAATGTCTTCCGCAACCTTCTCAAGGGTGCTGCGCGCTGCTTTGCTGAGTCGTTTTTTTGCAACTGAGTTGCACCCGGGACAAACTTGTAGGACATGGAGTTCGGCCATGGGCTAACTTTTTGGAAGACACCCAGGCCAGTTGCAAGGATCAAGATGTAAAGCATGATGATCGACGAAGCCATGGCAACAATCGTCAAAAGAGAGAAGCTATGTCGAGCATTCCCTGTTCAAGCCAAATCATCCGCACGACATGTCCCATCTCAGTTCTCAACTGCATCCTGTCTTCCCGACGCCTATGGTACGCACATGTTTTTTGACCATTGTTGCAGGAACCCTTGCCATTGTGCTCTGTTAGCTGCCGCTGTCCTCCAGTGAGGTGACCCCACAACCCGGGCTGTGCATCTTTCCGCATTCATGAGGTGAGGGTAGTGTCTGCTATGCCTTGTCCCCTGCAGCAGGGCTTGTTGCTCTTGCCACCACCCGAGCCCTCTGAAAACTGAGAGTTTACAAGGTTCTGACAGACTGTCCCGTATGCCTTCCCTAACCCGGTGACCAACAAAACCCCAGTAAGCAGCCACGTGCAGGTCCCCCCACCTCTGCACGCCGAGCCTGTGCACCATCGCTCGTGTAACCTGAGAGTCCAGGTCTCAAAGCTAACCCATGTCTCCTCACTTCCTCGCTTCAACTTCATCATTGTTTAAGGCAAGTATATTGGAAGTAGTTGAGAAATTGTTGCTGCTTCGGTGCTGGGAAGAGTGCCCCCGCTGCCCACCGAATTGACCCCCAGACTACCGTTTGGAGAACCCTGAGACGTTGAACCAGGCTTGCCTTCGATGTCAAAACATGTAGCGCTCCAAAGAATTTCCCCCTCACCTTGTCGACCAGCGCTTCTATGACCTTACTCTCTGTAAACTACACATCAATCGGAAGATTCATGACTGTGATGCTCTCGCCCTCTGGCAAAGGATAAAAAAGCTCTCCTGCAAGTTTGACCGGGAGGTTTCTTGGGCCTTGCAAACACAACAGTTTGCACTTCGTGGGCCGCACGTGTAGTCCGAAGTAACGTAATTTGGGCAACATCAAGTCCAGCATGGTCGGCACTAAGCACATCCAAGCAAGGACATCATCCATAAAGCATGCGCCTGTGCTCTCCATTCCCTCGTGCATGTCTGCATTCTCGACCCTGACTTCGGACATGATCTCATCCAATAGCCTTGCGAAAATGATTGGGCTTTCAACCGCCCCCTGCTTCA